GGAACGCAGACGATCGATCGACTTTTTTCGTCGACTCGCTGCGTTTCTTTAATTAGACGCTTGGAAACGTTTAGGAGTGAGCAAGGAAAGGCATTCATCTTGCTAATTAGGAGGTTTATTTTTAATCGTCCATTTTTGCTGTGAATAATATATATAGATAATTTGGTGGACCTGTTATAAATGAATATATTATACAGCAAATACTTCTGCAAAACTGTATAGAGTTTCCGCAAAGTGCAATACATTGCTCATTCTATATGTGAAATACTACGGTATTTGTCCGTCTATAGACATTCTATTACTACATCAATCTATATATCAATGTATAGATTTTTTTAAGCATTAATAAGATATTCTCTCTACGTACCTCAGAGCTGGTACAGCCAACCAGCGTTTTGTGTATGTAATACGTTGGAGGGCGCACTTCTATTTCGGCTTTGAAATCTTTATCATTATTCGAAATTATCTATCGATTGGTAATTTAGAGAAGAAAAGATTTAAAGCGTTTTTTTTTAATTAGACGCTTGAAAATTGTTTAGTGAAAGCTCGCCGACGATAGACATTCATCTCACTAATTGGTACATCTTTCAGATATTTTAATAGTGGAACTGGTAATCTGCCTTAAGTGATGTTGGGGAAGATCTCTCTCGGCCCTGTCTTCATCTCTATCTTTTATATCTATCTATCGCACCCTCCTTTCCTCATTTTACCAACATATTTTTATTTACGTCATACCGTTCGCGGTGTTCGGTGCGAGCCTTGATTTGATAAGAATATTAAGGCACGCGGTGAATGCCACGGCCGTGACGTCAAACACGAAAATGAGGAGCAATGCCTAGAGACGCTTTTAGAAGAGACGCCAGCGGAAAATTGAGTTTGGCAGCTATGGAAAATTTGGTCAGTAGATGGCGTTCTACTGACAATTTTTTATTTGATGTGCAATTACTCAACTGGAAATTGTTATAATGCAAGTTTTGACTAATAAAATTGTAGATGGCGCTTAAGTTACCGCTTTTATTATTTGATTCAATTTGGCAATTTGGCAGAAGTATACAGTGGTCTATGTTAACGACTTTAACGAATATTATTAAATTCAGTGGGGCAGTTTTATTTTTTTCGTCTCTTAGCATTTGTTCATATTTTTCTCTTTCTCTCTCTCTCTCTCTCTCCCTATTCTTTTCTTCTATTCTCTCTGTCTTTTTCTCTAGTCGACTAAAGAACCAACTTATTTCTGTCTCCTTAAGTGTCTTACCATCTTATATGCGAGTCGCTTAATCCCCATTTGCTAATCTTTTCAAATGAAGTCTTATAATGGTAAAAAGACAAAATTATTGTAAAAATTTCCAATTTGCTTGATATTATTTCATTTACTCGGCTCTGCACTCTATGAATATCGAATCGTTCTTTCATCTGCATGCGTTCTTTCTCCTTTTATAGAGGTCAGCGAAGGTTATTCGAATGTCAAAATATTATTACGAATTGCTTTCTTTTGCCTTCGTTAGTAGGCCATTAGCGAGTAATCAATAAGAGATTTTTCCGTAGATCGAGTCACCAAGTTCAACTTTGTCGCTTTATTATATTTTCTATGCAACATATTTATTTATTGATTGATAGACGAAGGAAAAAAAAGAAAACGAATGCTGATTTGATGAGGCTTTCGACGGTGAGCAGTAGAGAAAAGTCAAATCGAATAGAAAAGAAATTTCAGAGTGAAGGGAGGATGGAGATTGATAGATGTGTAGATTGATAAAGATAACCCTGAAGCAGAGAGGGAAAAGAAGGAGGAGGGCGGAGGGAAACGTCGAGTAGGTTTAGAAAATTTACGCTCATTCACTGGCCTGTCAGAGACGAAAAAAGGCAAGCGAAGAACGTCTATGGGAGAAGAGAGGGTTTCGTGCGTTTGCATACAAGAAACAAGTAATTATAGTATATATATATATACTGTATATACTTGGCAGCAGACACTTGTACGGGTACAGTTTATAGCTCTTCCCTTTATTCAATACTCACCATAGAGATTATTTGGATTGTATATGATCTTATATAGGATAAATATCAGATCCATCTCTTACTCCCAAGAGCCGTGGCTAATTTTTATCTTCTAGCGCAACGGAATAGAAGTGTAGGATTTATTTTTTTTCTCTTTCCTCTTGTCGCTCTCCTTTTCCTCCCTCGTTTTAGTTCTCTCTCTCTCTCTCTCTCTCTCTCTCTGGTTCTCTCTGTTTCTCCCTCTTCTCCCTATTCTTCTGCTTTGTGCAAACAAACAACGAAAACACCCGATCTCATTCCCTAAACGTGTTAGCATATCTTTCGCGGACAGATTTCTAGAAAGGTCACGTGTTGCTTTAGTTCTCAAGTTTACTCGGAGGCCGAAGTTGGTAAGGCTGAGGGATGAGTTTGTCACGTATTAGTTTCTCTTACGGAAATTGGAGAAAATTAGCACTATCAATTTATGCATCGAAATAAAAAAAATGATAGAATATTAACGGGCTAAGGGCAAAAGGAGCTTCGATTGGGTGAGATTCTTTGAAGTTAACGATCTCGCTTCTGTAATAAGATTTTAGCAATGGGATAACTGTACTACCTTTAATATTAGTTAAGCAAGGCCTAGCAATTTATTTCTATATTCTCGAATGGAGAGAACCTAAGAAATGTTAGAAATTACTATGTTATTAGCCAATCGTCGGTTTCCTAGCTAGGCGTCGCATTCGTGTGCAGGCACAGTTAATCCAGAGTCGTTTGACAAGCGCCGGTCATTGGTATGTTCTTCAATAGTCAGCCAACCATAAAGGTTTGATAATTATTCCCCTTCCTTCCTTCCTGGTTTGGTTGTTGTTTTTTTTTTTTTTAATTTACATTAAGTCCTATTATTATTAATGGAGAATGTATCAACTTTCCATTTCATTTTGAACGCTTCCTGACAAATGCGTTCTCCTGTTTATATTTCCCTATGAATTATCATATATTGTGTAGTATTATATAGTATATTGTGGCATACTATACTAGGCCATTCATAAATATATATAATATATTACTATATATAGAAGACAAAGCACCAAAGAAAAGTCAAAAAGAAGACAGCAAAATATAAAGATTAGTGTCTTCTTGAAAGAATCTGAAAAGAATAAAAGCTGTATAGTTATCTCGCTAACAACGAGGCAGCAAATTAACCGCTTGTTCAGTAACCATGCGTAAGGAAGAAAAAATAATCGAAATTGAATTTTTAGACAAATAGACTGTTCGTACTCTTTCTCTTTAGAGGGCCTTCAGATAAAGAAAACTAGCGTTCTATAAAAGACAAGCAGAGTCGAAAAGAGATAAGCAAGTGTAGGAAATAAAAATAAGAAGAAAGAAGAAGGAGACGCAACACCTAATCAATTCAACATCAGTCGACTGCAAAAGCTTGTAACCCTGCCTAAAATCGTAGCCATTGGCAAATTTTTTTTGCAGTACATCTGCATATTTTCACTGACTGTTTTAGAGGGGTAAATATCTACGCTTTCAAGAGGGGAATTGGAATTATTCGTGATTGACATATCGTACGGTTAATACTTTGTTCTTTGTCGAGTATACTAAGGCAATCTCTCAATCCTTCTCTTAAACTGTATAAATAAAAATAAGAAATTGTAACAAGGAGATTTTCCACAGAAATCAATTATTTAATTAGTTAAACAAAGAAGTAAAAGCGTAATGAACAAACTGCATTACAGCAACTACAAACACTTCCTGCAAGATAGGGCTATAGTAGAAGCATTTCTTACAAACTGTCTTTATCTTTTTCTTTCTATCTCCCTCTTACCTCTTCATTTCTCTTTTATGTTGTCCCCTTTCAAGTTTTTAAATTTCCTGTATAGTAGACTATTGCTGTTGAAACAAGGTAATTAGTACGTTGTTTCCAGTATTAAATCTACTCGGCAAGTTCTTTGTTAATTAAGAAAATACAGGGATAAGAAGCTGGCCTGGTATAATGTATATGTCGTATATAATTGTATACTATATTATATATATAAACAGTATATATAGTATATAGTATATACTGTATATATAAATTTTATATACTGTATATCCGTATTTCTTTTCTTTTCTTTTATTATTGATCCTTCCTTAATTAACTTATTCTGTCAGATTCTCTTCTTTTCAATATGGTTTATTACAACTCTATTACATTTTCTTTCTATTCAATTTCACGTTAGAGAGTTAATTACCTTCTCTTATACTATGATATACTGTGTAGTACAATGATTCTATTTTTTTTTTGGTCGCCTTCAGCAAAAATCAACTATAGATGGCGCTCTTTCACCTAGGTCCTCTTCCCTCCCCCTCCTCTCTTCCACCACCCTTGTCTTGGGCTTTATTTTCTGTATTTTTCTCTTTTGTCTAAAAGATAGTTTATCGATCATTCTAGGTCAGTGAATTCGTATTCCAGAGAGAGGGAAAGAAAAATTGGATTGAAGGATAAAAGGAAAGAAAAGGTGATAAGAGGAAGGACTCATTTTACCTTGAACTGGGAGTCACTGAGCCAGCCAAGGCAAATTATCCTTGCCTAATTTCCCATGCTCAACCGCTCATTAAATCTATATGGCAAGGTTGGCTCATATAGTACAAATACTATATATACTGTATATATACACACTGTATATACAATTAGACAGATGCTGTATATGGAGACGAAGTAAGAGAGAAAACAGAAAATACAATGAAAGTTTTCGTTGCCGAATAGAGAAGAGGAAAAGAAATAATTCGACAGATCTTTGCCATTTTCTCATTTAATTCTAGGCACATGATTTTTAATGGACCTTAACAAGAAGTCGGTCCCAAAAGAAGTAAGGAATAAAGAGATAGAATTGATTTTATAAAAGTTTACGACCGTCTAGAAAAGTGGAGGGAAGGGGGCGGGAAGAGAGAGAGAGACAGACAGAGCGGGGGAAAGAGAGAGAGAGAAAGAGAGGGGAAAAAAAGGAAAGAAAAAAAATGATTATTTGTGGAAGAATGATTTTAAAAATGTGGTTTTTCATAACAATTGGAATGAGGAGAATTGGTTCGAATGAAATTTGTCCAAGGAATTGTCGGTGTGAGAAGACGATTTACGACTGTTCCGAGCAGGCCATCGATTCTCCGCCCAAAATTAAATCAGCCAGTAGAATTTATTTGACGAATAATCAAATTGAATTATTACCAGAAAACTGGCTTGAGAACGCCACTAATCTAGGGCTTTTAGCGCTGGAAGGGAATTTGTTAACGAAAGTCAATTGTAAGTCATTTAATGGGGCATACCAGTTGACCGAATTGATTTTAGCGCGAAATTCAATTAGAGAATTAATATTTGAAAATTGCAGTTCGATTGTAAAATTACAAATTATTGATTTATCTGAAAATCAGCTAATCGCTCTACCGATAAATCTCGATAATTTCGCTCCAAGTCTAAGAGAGCTAAATTTATCTAGAAATTTGTTAAAGTCCATAAAATTTGATTATTCCTACGCTAAATTGAATCTATTATCCAATTTGGACGTTGGATTTAACAAACTGGAAAGTATTGAACAATCTGATTTTGAATCATTGGGAAACTCTTCGCTAAGATTTCTCAACATGAACAATTGCAATTGCCGATTTATTCATTCCAATATCTTTGTATATCTACCCAAATTGACGTATTTAAATATTGGCGGTAATTTGTTATCGGATAAAGATCTGGAAGAGACGTTTCAAATGCTTCCAGCGGACAATAACCTCGAATGGTTGGGTCTAAACGATTTAAAGAATTGTTCAACATTTTCTAATAGAGTATTTAAACGCTTAAGAAACTTGAAATCATTGGAAGCGTCTAACAGTCGGCTATTGGCGATTGAACCTCAGGTGTTTGAATCAATTCAGAATCTGGAAGAGTTAATTCTATCCAATAATAGATTATCTATGATTAAAGGAATTGAATATTTGAAAAATCGTAAATTGAACAAGTTAGACTTGAAAGGGAATAGAATTAGTGATATTTCTCATATTCTATCGACGAATATCAAGTACCTTGATATTAGTTTTAATAGAATTCGTTATATTCCTGCCAACTGGATGACAGATAGTAAATCGGTTATTGAATTTAATCTAAATAATAATAAATTGAAAACTATCGATGGTAAAGCTTTGAGAAGATCGAAAATTACTTTTTTAAACATATCATCGAACAAACTGAAGAGTATCAACTCTTTTGGGGCGGCGTCTATTCAGCATATCGACGCTTCGTCTAATAAAATCAAGTCTGTTTCGAATTCTCTTTGGAGAGATTTAAACGATCATTTACAGCTGCTCAACTTGTCTCATAACAACATTTTCAAAGTGCCAGTAGCTCCTGGTGTTAATCTACACAGATTACAGCGAATCGATTTGAGTTATAATCCCTTGGGAGATTCTCTCAATAGCTTCCAACCGCACAATTCTTTGTTTAATTCATTCACCTACTTACAAGAGCTAATTATGGACTCGTGTCGAATAACTAGTTTATCGATAGTTGTAACTAGAAACTTGAGGCGTCTAGCACGTTTGTCATTAAACGGGAACAGAGTTGAAAACCTTCAAAAACTCAATTTGTTCCAGCTAAAATCTCTTTTAAATTTACAATTATCAAGGAATCTATTAAGAAACGTTAATCCCGAAGATTTAATTGATATTCCTTTCTTAGAAACGGTTGATCTTTCGGAAAATCCTTGGCATTGTTCGTGCCAACTAAAACCCCTTCTGGATTGGCTGAATAAAAGCGGTACCGACGTTCAGAGTAAACAAACCTCCCAAACGGTTCATTATCGTTGTAAAACTCCTTTAGAATATCAGCATTTTTCCTTATGGAAACTATATGGAACGTTATCGAATTGTCATAATTCAACCTTTTCTTCAACTTTGAAAATAGCACTATTCACTTTAATCTTTATCATATTTCTCTTTATAATTTTATTAACAATGAAGTTATGCGGAGTGTTTAAAAAACTATTGGATTTGAGAAGAAAATGGAGAGTTAAATACAGAGAAGTCTCTCTATTAGACATTCAGGAAGTTCATAATAATTCATCGACTGTTTAACCTCTCTATTATCCCTCATCGTTCATTTATTGTTAAATTTTGTAACCTGTTTCCTTGTTTTTTCTTTTCTAATAGAATAAACAAATTGATTGATTGATTGATTGATCGATGAAGTGATTAAATGCTACTCGGCTTGTCGTCTTTAAAATGTAGTATTAGAAATACAAATATGTGAAAAACAGCTAAAGTAATTATAATTTGGCTGTCAATTTCACAATTACGTTGTAGATTATCAAGTCGATTAATTCAAATACTGTGAGGACACTTGCTCCCAGAAGTAGGCCCATAAAACCTCCAACACTACCTATTAGGAGAAAAGAGAGTGAGTGAGAGAGGGAGAGAGAGAGAGAGAAGAGAAAAAGGAAGATATTGTAAACATGTTAGTAAAATTCATGAAAAGATAAAAAGAAAGGAAATGTGTTCTACCCAAAAGTTCTTCAGAGGTAAAAGCTCTTCTTTGAGTGATTTTTGAATAGCTTAATTCAGCAAAGAATATATCAGCAATTAGAAAATTCTTTCTAAATACGGAAAAGAAAGGAATTAAAAACATGCATGTACGCATTCTCTCTCTCTCTCTCTCTCTTCTCTTACCTGATAAAATTGGCTTCTAGCTTCGATTTTGTCTTGTAAAGATTAAACATTTCAAGGACGTTTGATAAAGAGATTTTTAATTGAACGATATATTGACCAACTTCGTTCTGAAAGTTTGTTAAACCAGTTTGTATTGGTTGAAAATAAACGTTTGTATTATCAATAATAATTTCGTTTAGCGTAGTGAAATTTGAGAAATTTGGATAGATGTTAATTCTTGTTGGAAAGAATTTAATTTTCCTATTTTCTAAAGATATACAAGTTCTCTTCCATATCGAGAATTCTCTAATTGATTCGTGTATAATATCCTCAGAGAGAATGCCATTAAGGCGTCTAATTGTCTGAAATACGGTTAAATACCTCTGTTGTATTTGAAATAAAAGATTATGTAATTCCAATTTAAAGAATTCAGTAAATTTATATCTGACTATATTGAAGAATGAGTCAACCGTTGATTTCGACTTTTCGAATAGGAACATTGGATATTGGGAACCCAATTTCACTAAATTCTGACCAGATACATATAGTTCAAATATCTCCATGAATAACGCCTTCTCCTGTTCAATTACTTGGTTAATGTCTGCGACTTCTATATTCGAGTAAACGCAATCTCTCCCACTATAAAAGCTTTCGAATGTACTGTCAAACTCCATCTCCTTTAGGGATGTTCCAAGGATAATTTCCACCCCTTTAAAGCAATTTATATACAGATTTACGCCGAGAAGAAATTCACTAGATATATTATTACGTAATGAATCATTGGAGAAAGCTGTCATTAAATTATGAATATTTTGCTGGAGAACCGCAAAATTCTTGTAGCAGTTCGTTAAGATGGGAATTTTCCTTCTATAAATATCTTTTTCAATGAATAAATGATGAAATTTATTCAATTTTCTGTTGAATTTATCTAGAAGCATCCATGAAATATTTCTTTGAATTTCGTAAGATTTATCGGTAAAGGACATTAAATCCAGATGGATATTTAGTCTTTTTACTAAATCTTCTAAATCGTTTAATTTATCGATTAAATTTCTTTTCAAATCGATAAATATTGAATTTAATACTTTATTAAATAATTCGATATCGTTGTTCGTCTGTTTGATAATAAATTCTACAGCGTTGTTTATTTTATTCGATATTCCACTGGCGACATTTATTCGAATGTTTTTCATTAGAAATTCTTGCAGGTTTTCGAATGTGCTAGCCAAATTGAAAAATATTGTAACCTCTTCTTCATATTCCTTTATCCTTGACCTTGCCCTAACGTCTAAAGCTTGTTCGTATGCCTTCTGAAGGGATTTGTTCTCGAAACGAAGAATTCTTTCGGCACTCAGTTCGGACAAAGCCGACGATGAAATTACCGGCTTAACGAAAAAAAATATATTAGTTTTATTTGTCCAATCTTTCCCTTCCGCCACCCATCTTTATTCTCTCCGCCTTTTGTCTGTCTGTCTGTCTGTCTGTCTCCCTCCCTCTCTCTCTCTCTCTCTCTCTCTCTCTCTTTTCCCACTGTAATAATCTTAGCAAAAAAATTTAACAAACAAACTTCAAAGATATTCTGATAGCAGGCTTGTTGGCATTTACAAGATTCGTTGAAGGAGAGATTAACGCTCTCATCCGCTGTTGCAAACAAAAAAATCCTTTCATTTTAAGCCGTTTTAATACTAACTACAATTGCATATACTAATAGATATACTGTAACATTCCTACTTACAGTGCTGTACGATGCAGTTAAAGTATTTTTCATAACCGCAATAATTATCATCTGCAACAAAACGAGGATAAAGAGAATTGACCCTCTGCATTATTGGGATATTTTATAGATGTAAAGAAAAAAAGGTAGAATAGGAGGAAAAGAAAAAGAAGAAAAAGAAGATTAGGCTTATGAGGATTATAGTTTATTATTTGACAGCCTTCTGGAAGAAAATGCCTAATAAATCAATTTTTATACAGTCGCTATAGGAATAATCCTTTTTGTGTTGTTGAGGCATACTCATTTCTTTTGCCTATAAATCCTCAAAGACTACCTTCTCCACATAAGCTAATCAGTCGTATTACTAGTGATGCTGTTCATGTAGGGGGCTAGACATCCACATTTCCTTATGGTATCAGAAATCGAACAGTCCAAATTACATTTATTAGGGGAGTAATCTTGAAAATGGTTCAATTTTGTTTCGCCACAACTTCCCCAAGGCTTTTCTAAATTAAACACCTTTAAGGTAAATCATTTAAGAGTGTTAATCACTTATTCATAGATCTTTCCTTAATTTAAATCACTTTTGTGTTCTTGATAGCAATCGAATGGTGAAATCCTGGGGCGAGAGAAAAACCTAGGTGATTGATTCTTGGACTTTCTTTAGCGTCATGTAGATAAACCTAAATATATGGGAATAATATTTTCGTATTTAATAAGATAGAATTAAACTCTAAGGGGAACGTTATGACTTGAAGTAAAAAGCTCTCAACCTTTATTCCTTCATTCTTATGCGGACCAATCATGTATTCGTAAGATTCGATGTTAAGCGTCAAGCTCATTCCCGCTTGAGTCCCTTTTAGGGTTAGTATCTAATCAAAAATGCACTTAGCAGATGTGGAATGGACAAAACGTACCCGATTCTTCAGTAAAGAGACTACTATTCGCTTCGTTTCCGTTGATGGAAACGCACGTACCGTGATCGGTAAATTTAGTAGACATATTAATATTTTGACTAATGCAACTTTTCCCCTGCCAAGAGCAACTAAGGAAGAGGAAGAAGATAAATATTATTATGTAAATTGAATAAACCACAAAATTTGAATTTAATAATTTTACTCATAAATAAGATTTTCTCGTTGATGGGATAAATTTTCAAGGAAACTTCGAAATTCTAAACCTGTTCGTTAATAGACTCTTTTTTTTTTTCAAATTATCTTGTCATTTTCTCTTCTACTCACTCACTCACTCACTCATTCACTCATTCACTCATCCACCCATTCCTTCCCTCTTCTCGGTCCCTCTTTCCTTTTTTTATTATAAGAATACCTTCAATATCCGGTTCGTAATCCTTTTTAGAGAAGACGTAATCTTTATTCCAGTTTCTATTCGAAAAAGAATGAACGTTCGAGTTGTTTTCTTCTTTCTTCATTGAAATTAGTTTCGCAAGTTTCGGATAATAATACGAAATATTCTCATCTGAATTATCGAAACAATCGTTCCTTCCATCGTCTATTTTAAAAAGACTTATACATCTTTCGTTCTTGCATTGAAAATTGTCGTTTGAACAGCCTACAAGGGGGAAAAGTGAATTAATGGAATACAATAATGAAAGAGCCTGTTGTTTTTTTTCTCTTTCTTCTCATTCGCTTACTTGAACAGGAATTTTCGTCAGAACTGTCTTTGCAATCGGTTAAACCGTCGCAAACTCTTTTCTTATCAATACAAACGGAAGAATCTTTACACTGGAACATTCCAGAACAATCTGTTTTTATCAAAGATATTTTGTTGGAGAACAATAGAAAGTCAAAGCGAACAATACAGACTGTCCTTTCGGCAAGAGTCATTCTTTAGCGAAATTTTTCCTATTGCTATTGCCGAATTCTTTTCTCCGGATTCGCTTAAAAACGTTATAAAAAATGAGGTATTTGATTTGATATTAACAGATACTATCTTCCAAGTATTTCCATAATCTCCCTCTCCTTTCCATAAAACATTCGATCCTTTTTCATTATTTAAACTAAAAAAAAGAAATATCAAAGATTTCCAACTCAAACAGTCAGGATTAACTTTTTCAACAAACATTAAAGTTAAAGATCCTGCGTTTTCGCCAATCATTAAAAATATAAATTCTAAACAGGAATCACCAACACCACCTTTAACAATAGGGCTATTTATTCTAGCAATATGACCTTGGCTTAATCCCCAGTTCGTTTTCAGAAATGAATCTAAATAGAAAGTTAACTAAACAAGCACTTCATTAATGCAAACAATATTTACATTGGCAAACTTTCAAGTTACAATCGCCGACTGATTGGTTAACACTCCTCGAAGATATGCAGAAAGGTTTGGCAAGGTGATCATAGTTTGGAACGCTTTTTGATGGATTCCTTAAAGAGATAAACCTTTTAAATAAAGCAATATTCAATATACTATTATTAAATCTGAACCTGCAATAGTTCTCAGCTTCTGTTATATTTTTTTCTGGGAAAAAACTATCAAGATAAAAGGGATGAGCTTTGGGAAACTGAACACGCCAGATTTGACAAGTAATCCCATTAACTGTTTTTTGTACATTTCCTTCGTAGTCAATTCCAGCCGTATCCTCATGAAAACACTCATCCCATTTTGTAGTTAAAAGCCGAATTACTGATTGCACTGAACCATCAAAAGAACCTTTCCTTTGAAATCTGTAGTTCCAATTAGGACTATCGTCTGTGTAGCCACACATATAACGATCACTGAAATCACACGAGATGTTGTACGCCGATCCACAAATCTCCATTTCATCCGATCTATCGTTGCAGTCGTTTACTCCGTCGCACAAGTGTTTTTTATCAATGCACATTCCATTCGCGCATTGAAATTCGTTCGACTGACAACTTTGGAAAACTGATTGCAACTTTCCTTTACTTTCTTTATTATTCAACTTATTGATTCTACAAACCTGAACATTTAGGAATATTGCAGTATTCCCACATTTCACTCTCTTTATCAACGTAACACCAAGGACCAAACGTTCTATTCGTTGGATTTCTGCAATAATTCTCCGCACTTTGCAGACTTTCATCCGGGAAACGATAGGGAATCTTGAAAGAGTTTGACATGTTCCTCCAGTAGAGACACTTTTTGCCAGTTTGCGAAACATTTCTCGTCCCTATATACCATTGTTCTTGCAAAGATCTCTTGCATTCCGTTTCTATAGGAAGAGGAGAGGAAAGAAATGGAATAGATTAAATGAATAATAGGAATGAAGGAGGTGTTATACCGCAGACTAGTTCATCTGAAAAGTCGCCACAGTTGTCGTATCCATCGCAAGTGTAAGTGTTGTTGATGCAGTGGCCATTGGAACAAGTAAATTCAAAATGTGAACAAGTTCGATGAGCTGAACGGAATGTTTTGGCATTAAAATCAGTATGAAATAAAGAGAATGTTGTGAATGTTAATGTTGGTTACTTTTACAATTTCCAGGATATAGGAGAACATCATCAATACCAGGGTCATTTCTGAAATCAACTCCTCTAATATAATGGAAAACTATTTGTTCAATGTTAGGTCGAATGAAATATTCAGCCATAAACCAATTCGGCAACTGAGTTGATTTATTGAATTTTGCTAGCGACTTGTAAAGGTTGTTTACTTTCATATAAACATTTAGTTTGTTAATATCCAAGCCGAAGATATGATAAAAGAATTGTAAACAATGATTTTTTACTGGCTTGACGATAGGAGAAAAGAGAAAGGTTTCATCACCGAATTTCAAAGGTGGCCCTTCTTGAGTAGATTCCACATAAAGGTAAAAACCTATGCAACCCGAATGGAACTGGTGTTAACAATACAGACTTCAAGTAATTTGTAATACCTGTTCTATTGCCATAAGTATGATCATGATCAGGTCCAGTACCTTGGGAGGGTGTCGGAGTATTTGTACGAATCCACTGATAATTGTTATTAGATATTAAAATAGTATATCCACATATGTTATCCTCTTCAAAGTTACATGTTATTGAAGAATCTGCAATAACATTGCTATACTATAGTATTTTAAGTTAAAATTTTTTACGATAACTAAATACATACTACAAAATTCTTCGTCGTCTTTAAGAGGACATTCCGATATTCCATTGCATCTTTGTTTTGAAGAAATACATGCCGAATTGTTGCATCTGTATTGATTTTCTCGGCATTCTGCAAATATTTACAGTTTATTGTTTCTTTCGTTTCAAGCGAAAGAGATATTTTTTGAATTGGAATATTAATCTTTGTACCGCAATTGGAAATGCTGCAGAATTCCCATCTTTCTTTTGATACGTAACACCAAGGAGATTTCTTTCCGTTAACGTTTCTGCAATAGTTTGTCATTTCTGTCAAACTCGTCTCTCCCGTCTCTACTGAGATGGTGGTTTGCGTTTCGCCAACAGCCTCTTTCCAACTCATGCATCTCTTTCCAGATTCGGTTGTTGAAAGTTTTCCTGTGTAGAATCTGCCTTGAATGTCGTGTAGGCAATCGGAACAATTGCTTTCGTCACTTCCGTCGAAACATTCGCTTTCTCCGTTGCAAACCAGACTCTTGTCAATACATTGGCCATTTTGGCATTGAAAGCTCGAATTGAGGCATTGAGCTGCATGAATATAAAGTGATTTTGTTGTGTAAGAATGAAAAAAGGATTGGAGGAAACCTTGAAGAGTTTGACAAAATCCATTATAGAAAGAAATATCATCCAATGCCATTTTATTACTTCTATCAAAACCGCGAATACTTTCAAAGATCACTTTCATTTCTACATTTTGTTGATTACGAATAAGAATTTCGTTGTGGAGCCATACATTGCCATGGTTAAATTCATGTTTGAATACGTGAATAGTAAGTTTTTCTGTAAGAAAAATGGAATAGCGATTAGAAAATTTAAATAACCTTTTAGGGATTAGTAAAGAAACCTTCAAGTCGAAGGATGACTTGGAGTCTTCCGATTAAGCTACCGAACATATGATAGTAATAAGATAAGCAGGAAATGGATGATTGTGGTTTAAAGTTAGGCGAGCTTATTCTTGCTCTATTGCCTTTAACGCCCACCAACCCTCTCGTGATTATAAAATTTCCACTACCTGTTGGAATGAAAGGTTTAATAGTAGAATTCCGAATCTTATGAAAAACTGAAAGATGTTGATATTGTGTTCTCACTAGAATTTTGAAACGTATGGTCGGTTAGTGGACCATTGAATATGGATGAACTGCTGTTGGTTCTATACCAAGAATATCCGTGTTTTTCGTATTCAATTATAAAACCGCAGAGAATTTCCGATTCAAACGTGCAATTAACATTAATTTCGGTTTCATAAGTAGAACAATTTCGATCAAGTGAGATATTTCCAACATAAGCTTCGTGTCCAAAAGTATCCATACGAGACTCGAATGATAAACTCATTTGAACATTTGGCGGTAAAGGAACGATATTTTTTGTTATATATTTATTAGGTGATTTTGAAATAGTAGCTAAAATTTTTGTTGGCCCTTTTTCCAAATCAGCATAGATGTTTAAAGCAGCCGAAACTGAAGAATTCAGTAATGTCGAAAAAACGGCACAACTTTCGGAGCTTGTATTAATGGAAGGCGACCTCAGAATTGCATAAGAAGTAACTTTAGGACCATAGGAGAATACTTTCATAAAGCCGACTGCAATTAAAGAAAAATTCTCTATGTAATCAAGTGTATGGAAAACTTGTTCATGTAAAAATCGAACAATTTGATTCATTAGTCTTTTCCCATTTGTAATAATGAAGAATATGCTCCATTACGTAACTGCAAGAAGTTTTTCCAGTAAAGTTGCATTGAAATGTTGCTATGGAGAGTGAAAGAGCATATGTTAAGGGGAGTAGTCATTAATTTTAATTGAGAAAAGAGATGAAAAAGCCTAAATTAATAATAATCTTTAAGATATTGGGAATAATTAAAGAAAATCTATATAGGATCATGACGTCAAAGAGGAGGACTAAAAAAAGACACGAACAACGGCTTGTTACTTAACATACGTAGTTAGATATTAATTCTTTAATAATTAATGATTAATAAATCTGGGTCAAATACTTTGCCAGTAGAACTACTCACAACAAGGCAATTCTTCATCACTATAGTCGAAGCAGTCGTTATTGCCGTTACAAACTTTTTTACCGTCGATACATCTACCATTACTGCATTTAAATTCGTCTGTTTTACATTCTGCAAGTATTTTGTATTTGAAAGAATCAAGTATGTAAATGAGACTTCTACAAAGAAGTTGTATAAAATTTATAGGGTGTACAGTAATAAAAGTATAGGGTTTAAAGAGATTTCAGTTCAGCTCACCTAAACAAGGCTAGTCTTTTCAAAGCTATTAATAAATGTGTCAATTAAAACATAACAAAAAGTGAATAGTAGTAAAAAGACTAAAAAATTCTAAATAATTCCTTTGTCCTTATCGGCTGCCTCATTTTAGATAAACTGACTTGAAATCTACAGTTCTCTCTCTGTTAATCTACCTTCCAAACGACAATTTCTTCTTTGCAGCTCTATTTCATCTATTGCAATTGTACTATCAAATCCAAATTTATGTTCCGCTTCGAATAAAACTCTAACAAACATCAACAAGCTTCTTTTCCACTTGTTAATATTTACTGTTTTCAATTTCCAGGAGTTTGCTGTTTCAATAATTTCATCTAGAGGAGTACGTATATTATTATCTTTGATTAAAAACAATCGTAAGTTTATCTGTCCTCTCTTGCAAAAGTAAAATTTCAAACAGCACGAAACTTTCAACAGTACGGGTGGTGACTCTAACCAACTTATTGAATTCTCAACGGCATATCTACTATCAACCATCATGAAATTTCCTATTCAATTGTCTATAGTCTTTAATCTCGTAATGTTGTCATTAAAAAATGGTTATGCTTACCCTTTAATGGACTGTAAAATGTCTTATCCATTGTTGGGCCAAGGTGATCATGGGTTGAACTTCCATTCCTTAGAGTCCACATGAAATCATTTGTGTTAGAACTTTTATCATAACCACAAATAGAACTCTTTTCAAAATTACAGTCAACCGACGATTCTAAATTTAAACAGCAAAACAAATATCATCCAATATGAATCGATATATTCATCTTCTTTTACCTTCAATTTCAATCTTTACCTTTTCCTTTGAGTCTAACAAAATAAGATAATAATTTAAAAGACACATTCTGTTTTAATGAAACTATTCATTTGCTTACGAACCGCATAAAGGAATATTACAATATTCCCAAAGAAGAGGGTTTCGTTGTACGAAACACCAAGGTTCGGATTTTCTACCTCCAGGATTCCTACAAAAGTTTTTAGTCTGCCGAATTGTTTCGTCCTCAAAGAACAACAACTCGACAGAATGAACATCATTCCAGTATAAACAACGTCTATTATTTATACTAAATGATTGATTTCCTCTGTATAAATCTCCCGTTTTATCATTTCTGCAATCTTGCGACTCTGAAAATCATAATTATGAATAGAATAGAGCAGTTTTGAATCGATATTCCATCGTTACCTCTATCGCATTGCTTGATAGACACGTCATCGACAGCAATAACGTGGCGATCTGCTCTTCCGGTGTAGCCATCGAACCGAATTTGGAACAATTCAAGGTTTACACTGACACTCGCTTTTCGCCTGTTAAAGAAAACACAATGGTTTAGGCAATACTTTTGCATTGACGTTTCCGTTTCGTTCAACTGACCATCTTTTGCCTTGACATCCGGATTTTTCCCAAAGTTTATAACTATAGTTGTCAGGGTCAACAACGTAAAACTGTAATTTATTAACCGATGATCCATACATGAAGTAATAGAAAGTAACGCAGCTCGTCTTCCAAGTTTTCGCCGAATGCCAAGACGAAATTAAACGTCCCATTTGCTCTTTGCCCCCCTCCAAAAAGAGAAAATATCCGGATCCGGTTGTATGATCGTTGTCCGGTCCGGAAAGAGTTTGAATATTGCCAAGTTTTCTTCTCTGCCAGTCGATATCGTCAAATTTGACTTGATGAAAGTTGCAAAAGTCTAAATCGAAAGAGCAAAAGCTCTCTTTGCCTGAAACGTGTCACATTGAATAGATTAATGAAGGAGAATTAAAGGAATAATAGTGGAAAGGTAAAGAAGAAGGTGTAATTGTAAACTGACTGTCGCGTCTTGACCTTGAGTAGTAATCGACGCCTTGGAAATTTTGTAAAAGAGTATTTGGGGTTTTATGACTTGATTGAAGTAAGAGACACGTCAAATTTGATCGATAGTATAAAAGTGAATTGCAGGAAATCGAAGCCAAATTGAGACAAGTATATTTGCAAACACCAGGCGTTACATTTACGTGAATTTCCGAAATGAAGACGCTACTAGGGTGAATTAGGACGCTATTGAGAAGCACTTGAAAACCATCTTGACACTCTGTATCTAAGTGAAGAAATATTGGAATTGGTAAGTTACAGAGAGAAATTTACATAAAAATCATAAAGATAATTAGGCAGATAGGATTAATAATTAATAATTATTAATATGAATAGGTACAACTAGAGGCGTACCTTTGTTTTGTGTAGTTTTAGTAAAATATGATTCAAAAGCGTCGAAGACGCCCGTTTCTACAGTTGCTGATGCTCTGTAGACGTTTTGATTGCAGAGTGTAATAACTGGATATTCGAGTTGTTTAGTATACAAAACTTCGACATCAACAGCTTTAGGATAATTGAAATAATCCATAAATCTGATGATAATGATGTAAGAGAAGAATGTTGACAAGACTAGAACAAGAATTGCCCAAACGACTCTGTAAAAAGTAGAAGAGATAAAAGAAATTATTTTAGGGTCTAGTTTTATAGGGAAAGTTGTAAACAATAAATTAATTAGTTTATGGTTATAGTAGCAATGTTTTGTTTTATCTATAATTGATATTGATATAGAATTGCGCATCTACGCGATGTTGACCGATGCATTCAGGCTGTGGAAAGAACAATATGTATACTATATATTATTGGAGATTATTGGTTGATCATTTTTATTGAACAGATCTATGTAGAAAAGGTAACGATCTCTGAAAGAGAATATATATGTTAAAGAAAATGCTTACCTTCTTAATAGAAATTTACTAGATTTAGTAATATATTTAACGCCGTGAAAAGTTGTATCTTGTGAAAATCCGTAGAATAAACTTGTCCAATTCAATTTCTTTTCAATCATTCTTATTGAAAAGTTTATTGTTTTATGTGTTTTTTCACGGTAGGAAGAGGACAGTGGCAAAAGATCATAGGAAGAGGTAGGTCTATGTCATTTAATTATGGCGGACAAATAAGCTTGAAGGAAATTACATTATGAATTAATCATTCATTCTATGCAATATGTCGAATGGAATATGAGCAAGTATTATAATATATTTATGTAAATATTTCTTTCCTATTACGTGATTCGCATAGACCGTAGCCTCTTTCGCACAATTTTCCAACTGCTGTCCAAAAGTCTTTAACCCTTTTTATCTTCCCTCTCCTATCTGAACAACTCCTTCCAGGATTTTCGTACAATTGAACCTACATCTACGGTTGAGTTGATAGCTATAAACAGAACTAACAATAATATTGTTGATTGTTTCATTTGGACTGAACGGTAAAAATTGACTCGAGTACGAAGATAACAAACATGGAAACCGTTTTGTAACATTTTTCACTTAAGATCAAAGTGACATTCAACAATATTTTATGAATATTTTATCAACTAAAACCATTCCGAAATTGGAAAAACATTTATCAAACATTAGAAATAACACCTTTATTTAATTTATTAGTATATTGTTATATTTTACATGTCACGTATAGAAACTTTATAATACATTTAATAGTCTTATTTATCTTCATAATTGAATTCAAAGCAAGATGGAAAGGTGAAAGGAGTGAGTGTTTTTTAATTCTAATTTTGAGCAGCAAAGTCATGGAATACTTATTCATTTCAACTGTTAAAATCTATTTAAAGATGTGAATCCGCCATCTTTAGTATATTCTTTATTGAAATTTGTGACATAATTCTGAGAATGTCTCTTTTCCATTGATGGATTAGGAAAATTTTCCGCGCTCTTCTCCTCTTGTTTAGATATTGAAAGTTTTACGAAAATGTTATATATTAACAAATCCAATAGCTCAAAGACGGTTAAAACGCTGGCTCCTAATAAAAGACCCATAAAACCTCCAACGTTGCCTGAAACATGGAAGTGAAATGAAGAGAGAGTTATCAGTATAAGTGATAATATAAAGAGAGATTACCTAAGAGTTCTTCGATGTTAAATGCCCTTCTCTGCGTGATTTTCGAATAGCTTAATTCGCCAAAGAAAACGTCGACGATGAGGAAATTTTCCTTAACGAAATCCGAACCCAACTCGGCCTTTTTTTTATATCTGTGAAACATGTCCAGAACGTCGTCCAACGACATTTTCAACCTCACTATATAGCCGTCTACCAACTCTTGAAAATGGTTCAGACTATTCGTAATAGGCGTTAAATATAGGCCTACATTATCTTTTATCACCTCACCAATAACTTTAAAATCTTCGGTTTGAATAGGAGTGTTATCTCTGGTCCTGGTAAAAGTGACCTTTTTATTTAATAGAGATAATGAATATCTCTTCCAAATTGAAAAGGAATTTATTATTTCTCTAATCTTATCTTCTCCTAAAATATCTTTCAGGGTCTTAGCGATTTCTATAGTTTTAGAGTATCGTTTTAACAATTCACTTTTTAAATGTCCAATGTTAACTTTATATATTTCTGTGAATTTATATCTTACGGCTCCGGAAAACGAATCAACCGTTAACTTTGATTTTTCAAATAAATCTGTTGGATATTTTCGAGAGAGCTTAATGATGCTCTGACCGGAAAGATATAAATGGATAATTTCCAAAAACAGTGCTTTCTCCTGTTCAATTATTTCATCAAAACTGGATATACCAATTGCGTTAAACATATTCTTTCTTTCGTCAAAATATTCATTAAACGCTTGGTCAAAATTAAGAGCGTCTCTAGAGTCGACGATAATTCTTGAAATATTTTCAAAGCAGTCTAGATAGTCTTTCACTTCGTCGAAAAGATCCTCAGAGAGACTAGCTCTTATTGTATTATTTAAGAGATTATCGGTTAAATTTAAAAGATATAACTGAATACTCTCTGTGTTAGCTAAACAGAGTGGTAATATTCGAATCGTTGTTTGAAAAGCAGTAGAATTGTCACTCGGTCGAAGATCATCTAATTGACTTATGAACTCTTTTAACAAGTTCTTTACGATGTTTAAATGAACGTCGTGAATCGTTTCCAAATAGGAAAATAAGTGAATTTGATTTTTTAACAGTTGAAAAACATTTTTAATTTTGTCTACTTTCTTTAAAACTTTAGATTGAAATTCTTCTAGCGTTGAATTCAGGCATTTGTTAAAAACTTCAATGTCTTTATTAGCAATATTCATTATAAATTCTGTTCCTGTGCTGATTTTAGAGGAAATTCCATTCGGTTCAAATAAAGGAATATTTTTTATAAGAAAGTCCTGTAGATTCTCAAAAGTACTCGACAAATTGAAGAAGATTATAACTTCCTCCGAATAGTCCTTAATTCTAGACCGAGCCCTTACGTCGAGAGCATGTTCATACTCTCTTCGTAAAGACTCATTTTCAAACCGTAATATCTTTTCGGCACTTAGCTCCGAAAGCGCCGATGACGAAATAACTGGCTAATATCAATCATTAGTTAGTCAAAGTATATGAAAGGCACAAATTAAGTATAAAACCAACCTCAAAGATGTTTTGATAACACGCTTGCTGGCATTTACAGGATTCATTCAATGGAGCGCTAAGATCATCCGCTATTAAAAGTGATTATAAAAATATATCTAAGAAAAGAAAAAGCACAATAGCTTACGTTCGACAAGGATGCAGTTAAAATATTCGTCAAATCCACAAAAATTATCGGCTTTTTGATAATAAAAAAACAATCTTCAAGTGTTAAATCAAACAAAATTCTCTAAAAACTCACTCGCTACACTTTTCATATACGGAGCTAAACAGTTGCACTTATTTAATGTATCTTTAATAGAACAATCGATGTTACATTTATTCGGAGAGTAGTCTGCAAAATGTGTTAATTCACTTCTTCCACAATTTCCCCACGGCTTTTCCAGATTGAAAACCTGTAGCGAAACAAACAAGCAACGTTATCATACGTGGCATTAGACAGATAAAACTATGTGAAACCTTCGTATTCTTTATGGCAATAGAATGGTGAAAGCCAGGAGCTAACGAGAATCCTAAATGATTTATTCTCGGTGTTTCATTTGCATCGTGCAAGTAAACCTGAAAAGAAACAGGAAACGTAGATACATCAGAAGAATAACAGAAGATTTGGACGACAATACTTTAATTCCTTTATTGGTGTGAGGACCAATCATGTATTCGTACGATTCGATATTCAAAGTCAATCTCAGTCCGGCTTGAGCACCTGAAACACAACTCAGTTAAAATTTAATTCTAAAACAATCGACCAAAAAAGATCTTGAAAGAAAATTTTGAAGGGACCAAAGTCAACCTGATTCTGTAACGAGAAGAGTATCATTATCTCCTTTCCGACTGAACGAAAAGCATTGACCATGATCCGTAAATCTATCTAATATTTTAACATTTTGGTACTTGCACGGGCTTCCTCTCCAATCGCAACTGCAAAAACAAAACGCAACTCTAATGAAAAGGACAAACAATAGAAAAAATTATAACAAACTCTGATATTAAGTCAGATCTTTGATGACTCATTTCAGTGAGAAATCTGACAAAGTGAGCTCCATTTATCTTTGGCTCCCAATCCTTTTCCGCAAACATGGTTTGATTAATTAGAAAATTGCTGTTCTTTTCAAACACTTTTATATTCTTCCAATTTTTCTTTTCCCTAATTAGACTATCGAGGTTTGAATGATCTTCATCCGAGTTATCATAACAATCATTTATGCCATCGAGTAATTTATTACGACTGACACATTTTCCATTCCTACATTTGTATTCGTCATCCAAACATTCTGAATAGAAAATTCGCAAATAAAAAGTCAAATTCTCAAGCTTGAAGATAAAGTGGACGGAAACTTACTACACGAAACTTCATCAGATTCGTCAATACAATCAACAAGATGGTCGCAAACTTTTGATAATTCTATACATTTCGAATCAGATTTGCATGAAAATTTTCCTACGCAATCGTCTGCAAACAATATTTTCATTATAGAATAAATTGTGCTCTTTGGCAAAATCATTCAATGATGATTACTTTGAATATGGCAGAAACCTCGTCGGATATTCACGTATTTCAACGCGACGCCTGGACTTTTCAATCCAGATTCGCTTTGGAAAGTCAAATAGAATTCGTCATTCGATGTGAAATCAACAGACGCCTCAATCCAAGTTGACGCCTTCTTACCCTCCGTAAACCACAACAAACGAGTGGTGCTGTTAGTATTCAACCTGTTTAACAATTCAAAAAACAGATTTAACTCTGAAAAAAATAGGGAAGATAAGGATACAAAAATTAGCTGCACATTAATTTTAGAGATCCGGCGTCATCTCCAATCAACATGTAAGCGAATTGGATACATGAGTCTCCAAAGCCTTGACTTTTAGGACTGTTGAATTTGGCTATTTGGCCTTGTTCAGTCGATGGTTTTGTCTTTATAAATGTATCTAATTGCATGAATTTTGTAAACAGATCAGAAATTCTGTGAAAACATTTAAACTACTTTTGCATAATGGAATAGAGCAATATCTATAATAGGAAATCTCTGGATCGGACGACAAGCAATGTGGAGCAAGAGAATACTTCTTTCCAGGAACATAGACAGCTGGATTTCTGAGAAGAAAAGACATTTTTACACTTTCATTGCATGAGAAAACAATTTATTACCTGCAATAATTTTCAGCTTTGGCTACACTTTTTTCAGGGAAAAACTCATTCATATAAAAAGCGTGCGCAGTAGGAAATTGCACATTCCATTTCTGACAAGTGATTCCATCACTTCGAATCTGAACATTTCCTTCATAATCAATTCCAGCCGTATCCTCATGAAAACACTCGTCCCATTTTGTAGTTAAAAGCCGAATTACTGATTGCACTGAACCATCAAAAGAACCTTTCCTTTGAAATCTGTAGTTCCAATTAGGACTATCGTCTGTGTAGCCACACATATAACGATCACTGAAATCACACGAGATGTTGTACGCCGATCCACAAATCTCCATTTCGTCCGATCTATCGTTGCAGTCGTTTACTCCGTCGCACAAGTGTTTTTTATCAATGCACATTCCATTCGCGCATTGAAATTCGTTCGACTGACAACTTTGGAAAACTGATTGCAACTTTCCTTTACTTTCTTTATTATTCAACTTATTGATTCTACAAACCTGAACATTTAGGGATATTGCAGTATTCCCACATTTCACTCTCTTTATCAACGTAACACCAAGGACCAAACGTTCTATTCGTTGGATTTCTGCAATAATTCTCCGCACTTTGCAGACTTTCATCCGGGAAACGATAGGGAATCTTGAAAGAGTTTGACATGTTCCTCCAGTAGAGACACTTTTTGCCAGTTTGCGAAACATTTCTCGTCCCTATATACCATTGTTCTTGCAAAGATCTCTTGCATTCCGTTTCTATAGGAAGAGGAGAGGAAAGAAATGGAATAGATTAAATGAATAATAGGAATGAAGGAGGTGTTATACCGCAGACTAGTTCATCTGAAAAGTCGCCACAGTTGTCGTATCCATCGCAAGTGTAAGTGTTGTTGATGCAGTGGCCATTGGAACAAGTAAATTCAAAATGTGAACAAGTTCGATGAGCTGAACGGAATGTTTTGGCATTAAAATCAGTATGAAATAAAGAGAATGTTGTGAATGTTAATGTTGGTTACTTTTACAATTTCCAGGATATAGGAGAACATCATCAATACCAGGGTCATTTCTGAAATCAACTCCTCTAATATAATGAAATACTATCTGATGAGTGATTTTATTGACTGTATATTCCGATGATTTCCAAATATATTTCTGTGATTGACCTTCTAGTTTTCCTAATGGAGAATATATGTCTCCAATCTTTCTGTATACTCTCAATATATTTATATCTCTGCCTTTTAAATGATGAAAGAATTTGAGACAAAAATTTCCGTAAATATGAGAGAGAGGACTTAGTAGATATGTTTCATCCCCTCCTTTCAAAAATGTTCCTTCCTGCGTTGATTCGACGTACATGTAAAAACCTTGAAAAGAGAATTCTTATGTAGTGATACAGCTTTAAATATGATTAGTTGTTAACCTCTTTCTGTTTTATTGATTGTTGTGTGATCGGCGTGTGGTCCCGTGTTTACCGATGGCGTTTTAAAATTAAATCTAAACCATCTATAACCATTATCGGATGGTATTATTGAATATCCACACATAAAAGGATCGTCAAAGTCGCATGATATCGTTGAATCTAAGTGGAATTATGATTTTAAACTTAGAAAGAACGTTCTTGTGAATTCTTACTGCACGATTCTTCGTCGTCTTTATGAGGACACTCCGATATTCCATTGCATCTTTGTTTTGAAGAAATACAAGCCGAATTGTTGCATCTGTATTGATTTTCTCGGCATTCTGCAAATATTTACAGTTTATTGTTTCTTTCGTTTCAAGCGAAAGAGATATTTTTTGAATTGGAATATCAATCTTTGTACCGCAATTGGAAATGCTGCAGAATTCCCATCTTTCTTTTGATACGTAACACCAAGGAGATTTCTTTCCGTTAACGTTTCTGCAATAGTTTTTCATTTCTGTCAAACTCGTCTCTCCCGTCTCTACTGAGATGGTGGTTTGCGTTTCGCCAACAGCCTCTTTCCAACTCATGCATCTCTTTCCAGATTCGGTTGTTGAAAGTTTTCCTGTGTAGAATCTGCCTTGAATGTCATGTAGGCAATCGGAACAATTGCTTTCGTCACTTCCGTCGAAACATTCGCTTTCTCCGTTGCAAACCAGACTCTTGTCAATACATTGGCCATTTTGGCATTGAAAGCTCGAATTGAGGCATTGAGCTGCATGAATATAAAGTGATTTTGTTGTGTAAGAATGAAAAAAGGATTGGAGGAAACCTTGAAGAGTTTGACAAAATCCATTATAGAAAGAAATATCATCCAATGCCATTTTATTACTTCTATCAAAACCGCGAATACTTTCAAAGATCACTTTCATTTCTACATTTTGTTGATTACGAATAAGAATTTCGTTGTGGAGCCATACATCGCCTTGGTTAAACTCATGTTGAAATGCCCGACGTATAAGTTTATCTGTATAAAAGAAGGTTAGTTATCAAGATGAAGATTCTTTTATAATATCCTACAGACTTGTGTATTGGAAATATATTATTAATTTTCCTAACATACTCCCAAACATATGATAGTAATATGAAAGACATGCGAATTTAGACTTTGGAACAAATAGTGGAGAAGACATTCTGGCAATATCGCCCTCTGTTCCCACCAAACCTCGAGTCACCATACTGAATCCATCTATTGGATGAAACGAAATATTTTTTATATATTATGGAAATACATTATGTTTTTCTAACTAGTGTTTTGGAGGGTATGATCCATTTTTGGACCATTATTGACTGAAGTGCTCTTTTTAATCCTTGTCCAAGAGTATCCGTGTTTTTCATATTCAATAATATAGCCGCAAATGATTTCCGATTCAAACGTACAATTAACATTAATTTCAGTTTCGTAGGTAGAGCAATTTCGATCAAGTGATATTTTCCCAATGTAAACCTCATGTCCAAAAGTATCCATAAAAGATTCGAACCATACCGACAATTTTTTATTCGGTGGTAGAGGAATTATATTCTCCATTATTTGCTGATTAGGTAGATTCGAAATCGTCGCTAACAGTTGTGATTCTCTGCTTTCAAGATGTGCTGAAATTTTAAGCACAGCGGGAAGAGAAGAATTAAACAAACTATAGAATTTGGCACACGTTCGTTCATTTGTCTCAACAATAGGAGATCGAATCTTGGCTGCAGAAATAAATCTTGGACCGTAGCTGTAGGTTCCCAAGAAGAACACTATAAAAAAAATCTTGATTAAGAGAATCAATATATCAAGACAAAGTAATATAATGAGCTGTTGGACTATTCAATTAGTAATTATTTTAATTATTTATAGACTACTTAAACTAATGAAATATTTTATGAGTCATTTGAAAAATGTACGAGATTCTGTCAATACACCAATATGAACACAAATACGTACAGTTAGTAGAATTGTCTATCAGAATCTTTTTCCATTTAAAGTAGCTAACAGAGCTTTCTAATAAATAACCACATAAGGTTTTACCATCAAAGTTACAATCAAACGATGCTGTCGAGAAAGAGAGTTTCCTCATTAGAGTCTTTTCAAGAAACCTATCATTAATAGAGTAAAGAAATCTATTTACAACACGGAATCTCTTCGTCGCTATTATCGAAACAATCGTTTATTCCATCGCATATTTGCTCATTGCTAATGCATTTTCCATTTTGGCATTGATATTTCCCACTTTCGCATTCTGGAAACAACCGTCGTGACAATCAGTAGAGTAAATTATTGCAGTTTAATAAAACAGACTTACCTGCAATTGAACAGTAACCTTCGTTGAATTTCACATCATCAATTGCCAAAGAGTTGTCGTATCCAAATTTGTGAACAGCTTCAAAGACTATGCTCGTCAACCCGAATGAAATTTTTGGCCAATAACGAATTGCAACAGTCTTTTCACTCCAACCAACAGTCGACTCGTCAACTTCGTAGAGGGGAATTCGAAGATTTCCCTCTTTAAGAAGATACACGTCGAGGGAGTTTAGTCCTTTCTTAGAACAAACGAACGACAAACACGATAATTGACGAAGGAAAATTTGAGGAGAAGTAATCCACGATTTGGAATTTTCAACGGCCAGTTGACTGTCAACGTAGAGATAATTCCCTAAACGACAAGAAAGAGAGGGAGAGACGGAATTGATGATCGATTGACAAAGAGAAAAGGAAAAGAGGAACCTTTGAGAGGACTATAGTAAGTACTATCCATTCCAGGGCCAAAATGCAGTTGTAGATATCGTCCATTTTCCAATTTAAAGATGAAAGATTCAGAATCGGAAGCAATCGTGTAACCGCAAATAAATGAATTTTCAAATGCGCAGCTGATCGATACTTCTATAAAATTATTATAAAAACACTTTTTATCTTTGAAATATCTGAATTTCTCTTCGATAAATCATGAACAATGAATAAAACCTACCGTAGTCAGCGCCCTTTTTAGCGCCGACTTTTGAAATCGTCTTATTTGTTGAATCGATGCTTTCTACGAAAAAGAATACAAGAGACGATTACCGAACTGGAAAAATGATCATTTTCTTACGAACCGCATAAAGGAATATTACAATATTCCCAAAGAAGAGGGTTTCGTTGTACGAAACACCAAGGTTCGGATTTTCTACCTCCAGGATTCCTACAAAAGTTTTTAGTCTGCCGAATTGTTTCGTCCTCAAAGAACAACAACTCGACAGAATGAACATCATTCCAGTATAAACAACGTCTATTATTTATACTAAATGATTGATTTCCTCTGTATAAATCTCCCGTTTTATCATTTCTGCAATCTTGCGACTCTGAAAATCATAATTATGAATAGAATAGAGCAGTTTTGAATCGATATTCCATCGTTACCTCTATGGCATTGCTTGATAGACACGTCATCGACAGCAATAACGTGGCGATCTGCTCTTCCGGTGTAGCCATCGAACCGAATTTGGAACAATTCAAGGTTTACACTGACACTCGCTTTTCGCCTGTTAAAGAACACAATGGTTTAGACAATACTTTTGCATTGACGTTTCCGTTTCGTTCAACTGACCATCTGTTTCCTTGACATCCGGATTTTTCCCAAAGTTTATAGCTATAGTTGTCAGGGTCAACAACGTAAAACTGTAATTTATTAACCGATGATCCATACATGAAATAATAGAAAGTAACGCAGCTCGTCTTCCAAGTTTTCGCCGAATGCCAAGACGAAATTAAACGTCCCATTTGCTCTTTGCCCCCCTCCAAAAAGAGAAAATATCCGGATCCGGTTGTATGATCGTTGTCCGGTCCGGAAAGAGTTTGAATATTGCCAAGTTTTCTTCTCTGCCAGTCGATATCGTCAAATTTGACTTGATGAAAGTTGCAAAAGTCTAAATCGAAAGAGCAAAAGCTCTCTTTGCCTGAAACGTGTCACATTGAATAGATTAATGAAGGAGAATTAAAGGAATAATAGTGGAAAGGTAAAGAAGAAGGTGTAATTGTAAACTGACTGTCGCGTCTTGACCTTGAGTAGTAATCGACGCCTTGGAAATTTTGTAAAAGAGTATTTGGGGTTTTATGACTTGATTGAAGTAAGAGACACGTCAAATTTGATCGATAGTATAAAAGTGAATTGCAGGAAATCGAAGCCAAATTGAGACAAGTATATTTGCAAACACCAGGCGTTACATTTACGTGAATTTCCGAAATGAAGACGCTACTAGGGTGAATTAGGACGCTATTGAGAAGCACTTGAAAACCATCTTGACACTCTGTATCTAAGTGAAGAAATATTGGAATTGGTAAGTTACAGAGAGAAATTTACATAAAAATCATAAAGATAATTAGGCAGATAGGATTAATAATTAATAATTATTAATATGAATAGGTACAACTAGAGGCGTACCTTTGTTTTGTGTAGTTTTAGTAAAATATGATTCAAAAGCGTCGAAGACGCCCGTTTCTACAGTTGCTGATGCTCTGTAGACGTTTTGATTGCAGAGTGTAATAACTGGATATTCGAGTTGTTTAGTATACAAAACTTCGACATCAACTGCTTTAGGATAACTGAAGTAATCCATAAATCGAATGACAACTATGTAAGTGAAGAATGTTGATGCACAAAGGATAATTAGGATCCAAATCAACCTGGAACATAAAACGGGAAAATAATGTACAAATGATGTTTAAAATACATATCGTGTCAACATTATACTAAATTTATGAGTCACAATTAAATAATAAGGAAATTTATAATTTATGTAGGAGATGATTGAAGTGGAAGGGTAAATTATCTCTTTCCTTGTCTCTCTCTTTTTCTTTGTACTTTGGTTTATTGGAAGTGGAAATTTATGTTTTGTTGAAGAAATTGAAGAGTGGAAATTGATGATGAATTAATTTATGAAGAAGAAAGTATTAGTGTTAAACGACATGATATTTCGTAGCTATATAGAATAATTAAATTATGATAATTTGCTTATTATTTTTCGTTAATTTTCATTCAAATGAGATGTTGACTATTATTGTTGTATTCTGAATAGAAACGTAAAAAATGTTAGAATTGAATAGGGGCATTTTCTATGATTGTCCGTTAATTGTTTCAGAGGACTTTTGTACTAGAATTTTGTACGATATAATTGCTAATTATAAAAAACATAATTCTAACAATAAAAGAGATAAGTTATGTTTAAAAACAGACTTGTAGTTGTCTTTGTCTACAGAGAGACAAAGATGCAGAGAGAGAGAGAGAGAAAGGAGTAGGCGTAGAAAGAACGACCGATAATGTTTAACTTATTTTTGTCTTAATAGTTTAATCAATAGATAAACTTTACCTTCGAAGTTGAAATTTAGTAGGCTTTGCTATATATTTTACTCCATGAAATGTTGTATCTTGAGAAAATTCAAAGAAAAGCTGCTTCCACGTAAAATTCTCTTCAGTCATGCTGATTAAGCCTTACTTGATTGACGGTAAACATGCATCTGAAATACTGCCAGTCTTGTTCTGTTTTTATAAATATAGCATATATTAAAATTACATAAGTAGACTCGGTTTGAATGTTATTTTGTAGTATAATTAAAATGTTGAAGATAAATTACTTAAAATGATAAAGTTCCACTGACTACTTTCAACTTTGGAGAAACCTATGTTATTGATTTACTGGCTATCATTATTTTATATGTTGGGTTAAAACGTTTTGAGTGCATTGCGTTAATTATTCACAAATTTAATAATGTCGCTATACTTTATTTTATATCTACTAGTTAATTAATAGATAATAGTTTAAAAAGTTTTATGCAATTCTAGATAAATTCTTATTACCTTTGTTAGATGAGTTTGCTCAGAATCCGTTTGTACTTGGTCGAATATTTCATTTGCAGTGAATAAGAGCAAAAGTTGCTCTCTCTCTCTCTCTCTCTCTCTCTCTCTGTATTTATATATATATATATATATATATATGTGTGTGCATTCATATAAACAGTTATATTGCGCTTCCATTTATTGCCCAAGCGTTTAATAATAACGGTAAATAAAATCAATAATTTATTCATATATTATCTTCAAGAACTAGTAATGTTTTTTTCTTCTTCTAATTCTTCTTCTTCTTCTTGCACACAAGGTCTCTCCTCTAACTTTTACGAACTTTTAGTAATGTGTGAAACTCTTATTTAGCCAAAACTTTTGGCATTTGAGAGAGAGAGGGGGTGGGGAGGGGGTGGAGGGGGAGGAACAGTGGAGAATTTTTCAGAAAAGTTATTGTTACGCACTCTATCTGTTTACTACTCGATAAAAAGGTGAAAGACATGAACGAAATAAACTTGAATTTGCACAGTGGAAATAAATTGACCATATTTTCTGCTTTTGAATAGAATAGAGACTATCTGCCACATGTTCAGAACATCTAAAACAGACTGACTACAGTATTAAATAGTCTTTTCGCAGCTGGAACAAACATACAAAAACTTTGATAAAACCTTAGAGAGCGATGTATAGAAATATATATTATGTCTATCATATCAGTTAGCTTTTATCTTATAATTAAATTATTGAAATAATGAGCGAATAAGACTTTGTTATAGCTCTTTTCTCTCTGTACAAGTTATAAATAATACATAAACCGATTTTACAATTGTATAAATATGTACATACATATATGTATTGCTATATATGCCACTTTGCGGCTTTATGTCATCCATCTGTAAATCATCTAGTCTTCATCGTCATTATTACAGTCACTATCAAAAGTCATTCGAGTATATAATTATCATTCTCTGTCTCTCATTTTTGCCCCCTTCTCTTCTCATTATTCTACGATCTCTTTCAGTTTCCTTTCACTAAATTACTGTGTTATGGTGCTTTATGTTTTGTTCGAGGCAGGCTCGTTATGCTAATTAAATACGATAATAATTTATTTACAGATTCATAAAATTGCTCATATTTCATATATCAATTTCTGAAACACCTAACAGACTAGTTTTCAACATAAAGAAAGACAAAAACAAACTCTCTATTGGGACTATTTCTAATGAAACTTCAGTTTATATGAGTACTTTCTTCTGTTTAGGGATAGATAAAAACCAGCCTATAAATAAACAATGTTTGCTTTTCTCCTCAATATTTCTTTCTCTAGCCCTTATTAATTAAGTAACATCATTTTTTAATTAAGAAAAAGTCTCCTCAGTTCAAGTTTTCCAACATTATCTCAATATTTCTTTATGACGAGTTGCTTATTTAAATACGTATTGTATTAAATATTTCCTGTACTCTCCCTCTTTCTCTCTCTCTCTCTCTCTATATATATATATATATATATATATATATATATATGTACAAACCATTTAACTATACAAAACCCTCTTCCCACAATCTATAATCGTGTCGTATGTTAAATACAGTAATAAAATATTAGCTAAACAGTTATGTAAGAATCTACTTTATTGAAAGAAAATAAGGAACGTATATTGTCTATGGACATAAAAGATTATAATTAGCTTTTCAGTTTAAATAGAGATATGTTTTCCAACGTTTTAAGAAGTTTTATCACTTAAATGGAAGAATGGCTCTCTTCTTTTTAAAGAGAAACACTAGTAAAAGTAAACATTTAAATACGACAAAAAATAAGAATGATTCGATATTCCAATAAAAGTGATAATTGATAAAATACGAAATGTACATTTGTTTGAACCTAACGCCAGTCGATTGATCTTCAATCATTTGAAGTAATGGTATATGTATAAACATCTTGTCATATTCTATATAACAATTCTTGTCTAAATACATTTATTTAGGTCACGGAGGCTATTATCTTTTATTATGCATACTTTATAGAGCTTGTTGTGAAATTTTCCAATTCCTTCATTTGAACTAGATTATTTTTAACTAGTTCATTTTCCAAAACAACACCATCACTCTTTACTGTATGACTACCATTGGAAAGTTTTAGCAAAATGTTATATATTAACAAATCCAATAGCTCAAAGACGGTTAAAACGCTGGCTCCTAATAAAAGACCCATAAAACCTCCAACGTTGCCTGAAACATGGAAGTGAAATGAAGAGAGAGTTATCAGTATAAGTGATAATATAAAGAGAGATTACCTAAGAGTTCTTCGATGTTAAATGCCCTTCTCTGCGTGATTTTCGAATAGCTTAATTCGCCAAAGAAAACGTCGACGATGAGGAAATTTTCCTTAACGAAATCCGAACCCAACTCGGCCTTTTTTTTATATCTGTGAAACATGTCCAGAACGTCGTCCAACGACATTTTCAACCTCACTATATAGCCGTCTACCAACTCTTGAAAATGGTTCAGACTATTCGTAATAGGCGTTAAATATAGGCCTACATTATCTTTTATCACCTCACCAATAACTTTAAAATCTTCGGTTTGAATAGGAGTGTTATCTCTGGTCCTGGTAAAAGTGACCTTTTTATTTAATAGAGATAATGAATATCTCTTCCAAATTGAAAAGGAATTTATTATTTCTCTAATCTTATCTTCTCCTAAAATATCTTTCAGGGTCTTAGCGATTTCTATAGTTTTAGAGTATCGTTTAACAATTTCATTGTTTAAACGTATTATTGACATTTTATATACTTCAGTGAATTTTGTTCTGAAGAGAGAAATTAAGAAATTCACGTTTAACTTTGATTTTTCAAATAAATCTGTTGGATATTTTCGAGAGAGTTTAATGATGCTTTGACCGGAAAGATATAAACGAATAATTTCTGCAAACATCGCTTTCTCTTTATTAATAACAAGATCGTAGTTGGAATTCTGTAGAAAGCTGAACATATCTTGTCTCTCACTAGAAAATGTCTCGAATTCTTCGTCAAACATTTCGATGGATCTTTTAGCAGCTATGATGGTTTTTTGAATATTTTGAAAGCATCCTAAATACTTTCTTACTGAAATTGATAAATTTTGAAATGTAGAACTGTATAGCTGCATATCCGATAACTTTGTTGCTAAATTCACTAAATGCATTTGTATATTTTCAGTTTCTCTCAAACAATTTGATAAGATGCGAACATTTAACTTAATAGCGTTAAAGCTTTCATTGGAAATCAAAGAACTCAAATTCTGTATTAAATTTTCCATTACATTTTCTAAAATGGTTTTATTGAATAGTTGAGAATATTCGGTGTGTCGGAAAAACGCAATTTTATCTTCCACATTCTTGAAGCTGGCTTCAAACTTTTGGTGTTTTTTCAAAAGTTTGTCTTCAAAATTCTGGATAGATGTACGAAGATAATTTTTCATTATTCCTAAATCTTCGTTTGTTTTGTTCATATAGAAAATTGTTGCACTTTCAATCTTGTTAGATATTCCGCCAATTCCACTTATAGCAATATTATTGAAAAAAAATTCTTGAACGCTATCTAAAGTGTTGTATAACGTAAAAAATATGGTAATTTCATTTGAATAATCCGTAATTCTTGATCTAGCTTTAACATCCACGGCATTCTCATACTCTATCTGTAAAGATTCATTTTCAAATTGTAAGATTCTCTCGACACTGAGATCCGAAAGAGCCGATGATGATATAACCGGCTAAAAGAGTTCAACAATAAAAATGCTTATTCTCAAACTAGGACGAATTATGAAATAATAACAAACTTCGTAAACGTTCTGGAAGCAAGCTTGTTGACATTTACAGGAATTATTTAATGAAATTTGACTATTTTCCTCTAAGCAAAACACGTTAACATATTAAAATTAGTAAAGATAAAAAATTGTAAAAATTTATTACCTTCCTTAATAATGCAATTAAAATAATCATAGAATCCACAATAAGTCCTATCTTTTTATCAGAAATATCATTCACAAATAGCTAAATTAATTAATAAAATACAGCAAAAACAACTCACTTAATTTAGTATTCATATACGGAGCCAGACATCCACATTTGTTATAGATATCCTTAATCGTACAGTCCAGATTACATTTATTCGCAGTGTAGTCTGCAAAATGTGTTAATTCACTTCGACCACAATTTCCCCATGGCTTTTCCAGATTATAAACCTGTAGCGAAACAAACAAGCAACGTTATCATACGTGGCATTAGACAGATAAAACTATGTGAAACCTTCGTATTCTTTATGGCAATAGAATGGTGAAAGCCAGGAGCTAACGAGAATCCTAAATGATTTATTCTCGGTGTTTCATTTGCATCGTGCAAGTAAACCTGAAAAGAAACAGGAAACGTAGATACATCGGAAGAATAACAGAAGATTTGGACGACAATACTTTAATTCCTTTATTGGTGTGAGGACCAATCATGTATTCGTACGATTCGATATTCAAAGTTAATCTCAGTCCGGCTTGAGCACCTGAAACACAACTCAGTTAAAATTTAATTCTAAAACAATCGACCAAAAAAGATCTTGAAAGAAAATTTTGAAGGGACCAAAGTCAACCTGATTCTGTAACGAGAAGAGTATCATTATCTCCTTTCCGACTGAACGAAAAGCATTGACCATGATCCGTAAATCTATCTAATATTTTAACATTTTGGTACTTGCACGGGCTTCCTCTCCAATCGCAACTGCAAAAACAAAACGCAACTCTAATGAAAAGGACAAACAATAGAAAAAATTATAACAAACTCTGATATTAAGTCAGATCTTTGATGACTCATTTCAGTGAGAAATCTGACAAAGTGAGCTCCATTTATCTTTGGTTCCCAATCCTTTTCCGCAAACATGGTTCGATTAATTAGAAAATTGCTGTTCTTTTCAAACATTTTTATATTCTTCCAATTTTTCTTTTCCCTAATTAGACTATCGAGGTTTGAATGATCTTCATCCGAGTTATCATAACAATCATTTATGCCATCGAGTAATTTATTACGACTGACACATTTTCCATTCCTACATTTGTATTCGTCATCCAAACATTCTGAATAGAAAATTCGCAAATAAAAAGTCAAATTCTCAAGCTTGAAGATAAAGTGGACGGAAACTTACTACACGAAACTTCATCAGATTCGTCAATACAATCAACAAGATGGTCGCAAACTTTTGATGATTCTATACATTTCGAATCAGCTTTGCATGAAAATTTTCCTACGCAATCGTCTGCAAACAATATTTTCATTATAGAATTAATTGTGCTCTTTGGCAAAATCATTCAATGATGATTACTTTGAATATGGCAGAAACCTCGTCTGATGTTCACGTATTTCAACGCGACGCCTGGACTTTTCAATCCAGATTCGCTTTGGAAAGTCAAATAGAATTCGTCATTCGATGTGAAATCAACAGACGCCTCAATCCAAGTTGACGCCTTCTTACCCTCCGTAAACCACAACAAACGAGTGGTGCTGTTAGTATTCAACCTGTTTAACAATTCAAAAAACAGATTTAACTCTGAAAAAAATAGGGAAGATAAGGATACAAAAATTAGCTGCACATTAATTTTAGAGATCCGGCGTCATCTCCAATCAACATGTAAGCGAATTGGATACATGAGTCTCCAAAGCCTTGACTTTTAGGACTGTTGAATTTGGCTATTTGGCCTTGTTCAGTCGATGGTTTTGTCTTTATAAATGTATCTAATTGCATGAATTTTGTAAACAGATCAGAAATTCTGTGAAAACATTTAAACTACTTTTGCATAATGGAATAGAGCAATATCTATAATAGGAAATCTCTGGATCGGACGACAAGCAATGTGGAGCAAGAGAATACTTCTTTCCAGGAACATAGACAGCTGGATTTCTGAGAAGAAAAGACATTTTTACACTTTCATTGCATGAGAAAACAATTTATTACCTGCAATAATTTTCAGCTTTGGCTACACTTTTTTCAGGGAAAAACTCATTCATATAAAAAGCGTGCGCAGTAGGAAATTGCACATTCCATTTCTGACAAGTGATTCCATCACTTCGAATCTGAACATTTCCTTCATAATCAATTCCAGCCGTATCCTCATGAAAACACTCATCCCATTTTGTAGTTAAAAGCCGAATTACTGATTGCACTGAACCATCAAAAGAACCTTTCCTTTGAAATCTGTAGTTCCAATTAGGACTATCGTCTGTGTAGCCACACATATAACGATCACTGAAATCACACGAGATGTTGTACGCCGATCCACAAATCTCCATTTCATCCGATCTATCGTTGCAGTCGTTTACTCCGTCGCACAAGTGTTTTTTATCAATGCACATTCCATTCGCGCATTGAAATTCGTTCGACTGACAACTTTGGAAAACTGATTGCAACTTTCTTTTACTTTCTTTATTATTCAACTTATTGATTCTACAAACCTGAACATTTAGGGATATTGCAGTATTCCCACATTTCACTCTCTTTATCAACGTAACACCAAGGACCAAACGTTCTATTCGTTGGATTTCTGCAATAATTCTCCGCACTTTGCAGACTTTCATCCGGGAAACGATAGGGAATCTTGAAAGAGTTTGACATGTTCCTCCAGTAGAGACACTTTTTGCCAGTTTGCGAAACATTTCTCGTCCCTATATACCATTGTTCTTGCAAAGATCTCTTGCATTCCGTTTCTATAGGAAGAGGAGAGGAAAGAAATGGAATAGATTAAATGAATAATAGGAATGAAGGAGGTGTTATACCGCAGACTAGTTCATCTGAAAAGTCGCCACAGTTGTCGTATCCATCGCAAGTGTAAGTGTTGTTGATGCAGTGGCCATTGGAACAAGTAAATTCAAAATGTGAACAAGTTCGATGAGCTGAACGGAATGTTTTGGCATTAAAATCAGTATGAAATAAAGAGAATGTTATGAATGTTAATGTTGGTTACTTTTACAATTTCCAGGATATAGGAGAACATCATCAATACCAGGGTCATTTCTGAAATCAACTCCTCTAATATAATGAAATACTATCTGATGAGTGATTTTATTGACTGTATATTCCGATGATTTCCAAATATATTTCTGTGATTGACCTTCTAGTTTTCCTAATGGAGAATATATGTCTCCAATCTTTCTGTATACTCTCAATATATTTATATCTCTGCCTTTTAAATGATGAAAGAATTTGAGACAAAAATTTCCGTAAATATGAGAGAGAGGACTTAGTAGATATGTTTCATCCCCTCCTTTCAAAAATGTTCCTTCCTGCGTTGATTCGACGTACATGTAAAAACCTTGAAAAGAGAATTCTTATGTAGTGATACAGCTTTAAATATGATTAGTTGTTAACCTCTTTCTGTTTTATGGATTGTTGTGTGATCGGCGTGTGGTCCCGTGTTTACCGATGGCGTTTTAAAATTAAATCTAAACCATCTATAACCATTATCGGATGGTATTATTGAATATCCACACATAAAAGGATCGTCAAAGTCGCATGATATCGTTGAATCTAAGTGGAATTATGATTTTAAACTTAGAAAGAACGTTCTTGTGAATTCTTACTGCACGATTCTTCGTCGTCTTTATGAGGACATTCCGATATTCCATTGCATCTTTGTTTTGAAGAAATACAAGCCGAATTGTTGCATCTGTATTGATTTTCTCGGCATTCTGCAAATATTTACAGTTTATTGTTTCTTTCGTTTCAAGCGAAAGAGATATTTTTTGAATTGGAATATTAATCTTTGTACCGCAATTGGAAATGCTGCAGAATTCCCATCTTTCTTTTGATACGTAACACCACGGAGATTTCTTTCCGTTAACGTTTCTGCAATAGTTTGTCATTTCTGTCAAACTCGTCTCTCCCGTCTCTACTGAGATGGTGGTTTGCGTTTCGCCAACAGCCTCTTTCCAACTCATGCATCTCTTTCCAGATTCGGTTGTTGAAAGTTTTCCTGTGTAGAATCTGCCTTGAATGTCGTGTAGGCAATCGGAACAATTGCTTTCGTCACTTCCGTCGAAACATTCGCTTTCTCCGTTGCAAACCAGACTCTTGTCAATACATTTTCCGTTTTTGCATTGAAAACTTGAATTAATACATTTATCTGTGAAAAAAAGCCATGGTATATTGATTTAGTGTTGTATAATTTTTTGTTGAGATTAATGATAACCTCTAAGTGTTTCGCAGAAACCATTGTAGAGCCTTATATCATCTAAACCTAAAAGATTACTTCTATCAAAACCGCGAATACTTTGAAAGACTATTCTAAGAGATGTATTTTGAGATTTTTTAATCAGTATTTCATTAAGAATCCATCTGTTTCCATGATTTAACGCGTGCTGGTATATTATATTGTTTATACTATCTATAATATAGAAGAAAATGTGTCTTAGTAAATAGATATGCCTATAATAGTAATAAACAAGCCATTGTACTGCAGAAACACTTGAAGTTTTCCGACCATGCTGCCATACATGTGATAATAGTAAGAGAAGCATACTTTTGGCATTGTTATGCTGAAAGCAGGTGTTGTCATTTTAGCAACATCTCCTTCTACACCAACAATACCTTTAGTGAGCATAAAAAAGCCGTCTGTAAAACAAAGTTCAATGTTAATAATAGCTGACATAATTTTGTATGCTTAAGAACAGACGGTTATTTTTTAGAGTGTTATCCTTTTTTGGCCCACTACTGCTCGCTAGACTCGTTTGGGATCTGTACCAAGAATATCCGTGTTTTTGGTATTCAACAATGTAACCACATAGTATATTTGATTCAAAGGTACAGTTTAAACCAATTGCAGTTTCAAAATTAGCACAATGGCGATCAAGAGATATATTTCCGATTAATAATTTGTGTCCAAAAGTATCCATTCGAGATTCAAAAACTAGCGAAATTACTACATTGGGAGGTAAGGGAATAGTCTGTAGAGATATTTCATTATTTCCAACTGTCGTAATTGTAGTAACAAGCTTTGTCGGCATTGTTTTATAATTGACATAAATATTTAAAGTTGCCGAATGCGTACGACTAAAAATTGCTGAAAAACGAGCACACGTCCGATTTGAAGTTAGCAAAAATGGTGATCTTAAAAAAGCTGAGGCTGTAACAAGAGGTCCATAGCTAAACACTTCAAGCATTGTTACTGAAAGAGAGAAGAGACATTATTTATATTCTGAGAGAAATCTTGTGTTTTCAAATATCAATTTAGCTAGTACTATTACAGTAGAAATAATTCATTAAATTGTAATTTAAAATATCCCTTTGGGACGATTCATAATATGTAAAATATTTACGAATGAAGGCTCAGGGGCAAAGATAAAACAAAAAACTAATTATAAAATATGAAGAAATCTTTAACTGACTGTTCAAAGAGGATACAATCTTCTTTTCCCATTTGTAATAACTAACTGTATTTTCTATTATATAACCACATAAGGTTTTACCATCAAAGTTACAATCAAACGATGCTGTCGAGAAAGAGAGTTTCCTCATTAGAGTCTTTTCAAGAAACCTATCATTAATAGAGTAAAGAAATCTATTTACAACACGGAATCTCTTCGTCGCTATTATCGAAACAATCGTTTATTCCATCGCATATTTGCTCATTGCTAATGCATTTTCCATTTTGGCATTGATATTTCCCACTTTCGCATTCTGGAAACAACCGTCGTGACAATCAGTAGAGTAAATTATTGCAGTTTAATAAAACAGACTTACCTGCAATTGAACAGTAACCTTCGTTGAATTTCACATCATCAATTGCCAAAGAGTTGTCGTATCCAAATTTGTGAACAGCTTCAAAGACTATGCTCGTCAACCCGAATGAAATTTTTGGCCAATAACGAATTGCAACAGTCTTTTCACTCCAACCAACAGTCGACTCGTCAACTTCGTAGAGGGGAATTCGAAGATTTCCCTCTTTAAGAAGATACACGTCGAGGGAGTTTAGTCCTTTCTTAGAACAAACGAACGACAAACACGATAATTGACGAAGGAAAATTTGAGGAGAAGTAATCCACGATTTGGAATTTTCAACGGCCAGTTGACTGTCAACGTAGAGATAATTCCCTAAACGACAAGAAAGAGAGGGAGAGACGGAATTGATGATCGATTGACAAAGAGAAAAGGAAAAGAGGAACCTTTGAGAGGACTATAGTAAGTACTATCCATTCCAGGGCCAAAATGCAGTTGTAGATATCGTCCATTTTCCAATTTAAAGATGAAAGATTCAGAATCGGAAGCAATCGTGTAACCGCAAATAAATGAATTTTCAAATGCGCAGCTGATCGATACTTCTATAAAATTATTATAAAAACACTTTTTATCTTTGAAATATCTGAATTTCTCTTCGATAAATCATGAACAATGAATAAAACCTACCGTAGTCAGCGCCCTTTTTAGCGCCGACTTTTGAAATCGTCTTATTTGTTGAATCGATGCTTTCTACGAAAAAGAATACAAGAGACGATTACCGAACTGGAAAAATGATCATTTTCTTACGAACCGCATAAAGGAATATTACAATATTCCCAAAGAAGAGGGTTTCGTTGTACGAAACACCAAGGTTCGGATTTTCTACCTCCAGGATTCCTACAAAAGTTTTTAGTCTGCCGAATTGTTTCGTCCTCAAAGAACAACAACTCGACAGAATGAACATCATTCCAGTATAAACAACGTCTATTATTTATACTAAATGATTGATTTCCTCTGTATAAATCTCCCGTTTTATCATTTCTACAATCTCTCGACTCTGAATTGGGTAAACAGATATTTTTTTAGATGAAAGATTAACAGTTTCGTCTTATAGAAGACTTGAAAATAATTTGCCGTCATACGTTTTTGACAGCTTGATACAGAGATATCATCGATAGCAATAATATGACGCTGTCCCCTTCCCAAAAGTCCATCGAATCTCAAGTGAAAAAGCTCTAGATCTAGGACAATCGTTGCCTTAAACCTAAAAAAAAGTATTTAAATCTATTAGGTAGGCTTAATCTTGGGTTATTAGATCAAATATGCATAGTTATTTATTTTACAGACCATCTGTTTCCTTGACAACCAATTTTTTCCCAAAGTTTATAACTATAGTTGTCAGGGTCAACAACATAAAACTGTAATTTATTTACTGACGATCCATACATGAAATAATAGAAAGTAATGCACGTTTTCTTCCAATTTTTGGTCGAATACCAAGACGAAATTAAACGTCCCAGTTGTTCTTTCCCCCCTTCCAAATAAATAAAGTATCCGGATCCAGTTGTATGATCTTTGTCCGGTCCCGAAAGAGTTTGAATACTGCCAAGTTTTCTTCTCTGCCAGTCGATATCATCACTTTTCACTTGATAAAAGTTGCAAAAGTCTAAATCGAAAGAGCAAAAACTCTCCTTGCCTAAAATGAGCCAATTTCACAGGAGTAAGCGACGCGTAAGTGAAAAGTAATAAGCGTTAAAGGTTAAAGAAGTAATAATTGTAAACTAACTGTCGCATCTTGACCTTGAATAGTAATCAACGCCTTGAGATTCTTGAAACGTAATATTTGGCGTTTGATGGCTAGCTTGAAGTAATAAACATGTCAAATTTGACTGAATGTACAGAAATGAATTACAATCAATTAGAGCCAAATTGATGCAAGTATATTTGCAAACACCAAGCGTTACATTTACATGAGTTTCCGATTTAAAATTATTAGAAGGATGAAGAAGAATTCGATTGAGGATTAATCTAAAATCATCTGTGCATGCTGTGTCTATGTGGATGAATAAATATCTTATTATGAGAAATGCAGTATATTTCCTTTTACCTCTTTTAGTTGCCTTTCTATTAAAATGTCTTTCAAAAGTATCGAAAACACCACGTTTTACAGTTGCAGTTGCTTTGTAGACATTTTGATTGCAAAACGTAATAAGTGGATAATCTAATTGTTTTGTATAAATAACTTCAACATCAACAGCTTTTGGATAGCTAAAATAGTCCAAAAATCTAACAATTAGAATATAAGTGAAGAATGCCGAGGCGGAGAGAATTATTAATATCCAAATTAGCCTGATTTAAAAGATTATTATTAAATAATTCAGAATGACTTGTATATTATATATATATATATATATATAGGTAAATATATAGATATAGATGTGTATTACAATGTTTATATACAGTATATATAGTAAATTTAAGGCGGTTATCAATTATTAATGGCGAATAATGTCAATACAAATTTAAAGTTGACTATGTTATTAGTTTTTAACTATTAAAATAAATTACATTGTGTTGTCGTATGAGTTGGACGTTATTAAACTGTCAAAACAATACGTTTTAAGTATTGAATTTTCTTGGAAAATGTTCAAGATAACCAAATTATGAATTGTATTTATTGAATAGAATAATACAATACAACCAATATGGAAGAGAAATCTTCAAGTACTCAATATACTGTATATCGTGCAGAATTGAACAAGTATATCACACTGTTCGTTATCTGTTTAGCTACTAAGGTAGAGATAAAATATTTTTAAGAAAGATTTTCAGGAACTTACCTCCGAAATTCAAACTTAGTTGGCTTTGTGATGTATTTTACGCCGTGAAAGGTTGTATCTTGGGAAAATTCAAAGAAGAGTTTCTTCCAAGATGAATTGTCTTCAGTCATCTTTGCATTTGCTGCTTGTCGCTCTATGAACTAAAGACAAATGAGGTGGATAACATAGATACAATATATATTAATATAATAATATAATTATATATATATATGTATAAATTATTGGAAGATAGTAGCATTTAATAAAGATACTATAGTGCAACAAAATATATCAGGAATACCTCAATGAGTAAATTGAATATCTTTCATTAATTTATTTGTAATGTCTATTGATTTATGAACAATTAGTCTTTTCCATAAATGCTGAATTGCCGTTAATGCATTTCGTAAATAATTAAGTTAAAAATACGTTTTATGTTGGCCAATGTTTTCGCAATATCTCCATATGCTCTTGTGAAGATAGCTTAGATTACGAAAAAGATACACAATTGATCAAATCATTTATTAAAATAATCATCTTTATAAAAATACTATTGTACTTTGAAAAGTAGAGAGGAAAGTAAATGAACAAGTCACTTGAATGAACAAACAATTAAAAGCTTTAAACAACACAAAAGTCAAGAGTTAGCGGGCGCAAATGCCTCTTGCTATGGATGTTAATAGCGATTGTAGTGTTGAAAATGTCGGAGACATAAATAGATGAGTACTTAGTGGTGTTGAAACGATTGATTGTAGTTGCTCCACATTGATATCATTCGTAACGCCTATACCAAATATATGAACGCCTTTCTCATTTCTACAATATTCCGCTTCAATTTTTGGATCTCCCCCTTCATTCGACTCTCCGTCGGTTAGTATGATTATTATGTTCTGTTTGTCATCTCTTGCACCTCCCTCTTTAGATAATATCTCTGTACAAGCCATTCTTAAGGCCGCCGTAGGATTTGTTTTACTGCCGGCATACATTAAATTGTCTATTTTGTTTTCGATTTCTTCTCTTTTGAAGTATTCTGTTTATTAATAAACTTATTTAAACAAATGAAATATCTAATATTTTAAATACCATTTAAGCCAAACTCTTTAGTGGGTTGAGCGGAAAATGTTATTGTAGATACTCTTGTCTGATCAGAGCCTATGGACATCCGCCCTAAAAGACTCTTCGTAAACGACTTCATCATATCCCAATTCACGAAACTATCATTTGCCTTATCTTTGATTGAACCCGAGGAGTCAATTAACAAGACCATATCGGCTAAAATATGACATCTTTGACATCGAAGAGAGACAGTATCCCAATAGAAACTCGGATTACATTCGTTGCATACAAATGAATTGTTACAAGTTTTACAATTAAATAGGCATTCTTTACAACTTCCATCTTCGTGTAAATAATACGAAGGCAAGCACTGCTTGCATGAATTTTCATTTTTGCAAACAGCGCAGTTGTCGGGACATTCTGCAAAGAAAAAGATAGCAGAAAAAGAGAGAGAGAGAGAGAGAGAGAAGAAGGAGAAGAAGAAGAAATGAGAATGAAAGAAAGAGGAGAAACAAAAACAAATTTAGGAATAGATCTGATAAAGGGAGAGATAAATAGTATTGTAATATATTTACTTATGCATATGTCTATTTGTGATGGTGTTGATAATTTGTATGAGCCAGCAGAACATTCTAGACAATTACAACTTTTGTGACATTTAATGCAATTATCACTACAGGTGTCAGCACAAGAAGAAATTTCGCACACTCTACGCGCCATCTCATGTTCGTCGATTCCATATTTGCCGAACTCGTCGGTCGATATAAAATGATACTTTTGAGGAACTGAAGCGATGCTTCTCAATTCTTTTTCATCCCTTATATAGCTGGACGATAAGGCGAATATAGTAAGATTTTTAGAGTGCAATTTCCTAGCTTGGTCGCTAAGCTTATCCGTATTTCGGTTGGATAGACCATCGGAAAATAGCATTAATACGTTCCTATCTGTTATTTTTCCCATACGCACAATACGAATTTTTTGAGGCCCGTTGTCTCTTCAAAATGAATATTGTAAAAGATCACTTCTGGTTTTACATATTCTTTATTAAATTGTGAATATTTAAACGGAATTGTTCGTTTATTACCAGTCCAGTCATGACTGTACTGGTTGTGAGTAAAATCGAATCATATTTTACTTATGATATTTAATAGGGCACTTGGAATACTCAACTATCGGATTAAAACCAGAAGTGAAAGAGGCGAAGAGATATTAAGTTGTATGGGCATTGGGGAGGGCGAGGACTCGGGACGGGGTTAGAATATCTTTCCTTTTGGGACAATCTCTCGGAGCGTTTAAAAAGTCGTACTGTGCGTATTCGGTAAGGAAGAAATCTTGTCTTCTATATATTTAAGAGCGTCAGCAGTGTTTGTTAGTCCATCTGCTACATCGACACTATCTACAACATTCAGTAATTCGGGTTTATTATCAGTCAGACCAAGTTTCTCAGTAGTCTTGCTATTATAAGTTAGAAAGGAGGCTTTAGACGACGATCCAAATTCGAGGATGTTCAAGAAATCCTTCATAAATTCCGTTTGAACTTTCCACGATGAATATTCAATTGATGATGAAGAATCAACCAATAGAAAGACGTTGACAGGACAATCTAAAGCTATATTTTAAGATTTGTCACTGAATTATTATCACGATATGCAGTATATATACTTAAATATGAAAGAAAAGTCTATTAGTATTATTATTAATAATGAAATCTGACACATTTTCTTCTAATAAATTATTAAATATAAAAGATCCTTCTAAGAGCTGTTTAGTTCATCTTATCCTCTCTCTAACTCTCCCTCTCCTCTTCCAACCCTCTCTCTTAAAATTGTTCCTATTCTTTCAATCTCTGCTAGGTTGTTAATCTATCACTATTTGAGAGATAGCGTTATTTAACCTTCCTTTCTTACTTCCTTCCTTCTAGATCATGCATGCATTCATTCGTTCGTTCGTCCGTCGACTTTATCACTCGCTCACGCACTATATAATTTTTCTCGGTAGTTTTCTTACCTTTAATTATATTGACATAGCCGATAATAATTAGAGTCAACGATAAGCGATATCTCTTGCAGTTCATTTCCAACGTTTTTCGTGATTTTTAATACAAAAACGTCGCTGACTAACTGTGGAAATGAATCAGAACAGTCGATAAATTAGGCCTCTTTTTGGCCGTTCTCTCTCTAGTAAAACCCTACCCTATTAAAGTTGCGAAGGCTTATAACGTACTACCGTCACGATTTTATATTGAACAGTTTCCATGCAAATTTTAGGCCTATTCGTGCATGGTTAACAAAAAAAAAATTATAGAATGTATTGTCTGATTAACTATACGGTAGAGAAGAGAAAATGGGAGAAAAGAGAGATACTTTATTAAGAATAGTTGAGAAGAGATAAAGATGTTGTAAAAGAATATTCCAGATGATTTTTCCTGATTGAATATTAAACGATGGGAATAGATGGAAGATTATGTGGAAAATATGTATTTTTGTAGGTTGTAAAGGGAAATCGTTAAAGAATAGCTGGAAAAGAGTAATGAGCGAAAAGCTCTCGTAATCAAAGAACTATTGTGTCGGATTTTGCACGTTCAGTTTGTCAGTTTAGTGTGAAAAAGGAGAATAGACACGGATTTTATTGTAAAGGAATAGAAGAGAGAAAAAAGTAGATGAATTTAAAAATATGGGTTTTAGAAGCGTTTTTTTTTATATATACAACCTATATTATAAAACCTATATATTTATATATATATATATATTTGCATCAATGTATTTTCCATTGGGAAATCAATGTGTAGAATACATTTTCTGTTTATTCTTTGTGTTTATGTAAATTTGTCATCTATGAGTAAATGGCATTTAGTTCTATCGATCGTTTAGAAGTTCATACCAATGACATTATCACACTGATTAGTATTCTATCCCTAAATGTTTCTCTTCCTCCATATTTCGTTCCTTCCTTAGTCTATACGCAGGCAATCTATTTTTTCTAACAAGCTTATTATTTCAAACATCACAGCGAAAATTATAAATGAAAAGAATAAAAATGAAGGAAAAGACTGTTTAATTATTTTTTTAATTTTGTTTTTTAACCAGTCAACGAACAGTTTCAAAGAAGAGAAGAATACGCCTTGATCTTCTTCTAAAACATTAGAAAACGAGGGAACGAATTTAATCGAAGTGATAAAGTGAAAAAGAAAAAAGAGGATTTTTCGGCAATAATAATATTTCAAAGGGGGCGTAAAAGTCGTTTGTTGTGCTCTTGTGTAAACAGTTGGAATTTAAGTGTAATGAAATATTTTAATTGCTTTCCGTCCTTTAGGAAATAAGGGAATTTTACGATTACAGGAAAAAATACTTAGGACAATTAATTGCCCGGAAAAAATAAAATATAAAAAATTATCTGCGAAAAAAAATTATAGGCCGATTTCATCTTTCCACGAACATATGACCTGAGGAGTTGGTTTCCAGGTAGTTATTGAATTTTTCTACTAATAAGGATGTTATTCTATTTTTTACATTGATTTTTTTCTATCCCCCGATAGAGTATGGCAAGTGGAAGATGGAAAGAGATAAAGGGAGGCTGGGCGAAGAATGGAAAGAAAAAGATGGAGAGCGGGAGGTAGAAAACTAAAAATAGAATAAAGAATAGGAAGAAAAGATGACTAGATGAAAAGAGAATAAATTTTAATTAACAAATTATTGTACGCATCAAACAACCTTTGCAAATTCTTTTTTTTTTGTTTTTTGTTTTTTTGTTTCCCTTCAAATTCTAACAATTCAACAAAAAAATTTATTCATAAAAAAAAACCATGAAAAAACAACAACAGTGAAAAAAGAATTCAAAATGTGCAGTACATACTTTCTCAAGGGAGCTGACCGAAAAAAATTCCTTTCAATATTATCATCATCGTCATCACCAGCAACATTATTTATATACTGCTCTCTACTTTTTTCTTCCTTCTTTCTTTTCTGTTTGTCTGCCTGTCTTTCTGTCTCTTTCACTCTCTCATTCTCTCATTCTCACTCTCTCTCTTTCTCTCTCATTCGCTATACCGTTCACTATCTTTCTTTCTTTGCAGTTTTTCTCATTCTTTCTTTACAGTATTATATTTAGCAGAACAAAGTATACGAAACATAGTAAATGACCGTATACGTAATCATAAATAATATTTTATACAGGAAATTGTATATGCATATATAAGAATAAGGTACAATCGTAGTATATAACATTACTACAGCACCGTAAAGCAGTATTGCAGATAGTTGTTGGGTTATTTTGTTTGTTTGTTTGTTTGTTTGTTTTTTTTACACTATGTATCTTATTAATAATACGCAATATACAAAAAAGGAAAAAACAATACTCGAAATATATTAAGATATACTTGTATACATAGGGATATACTAATATACGAATAGAATATATAATTTGTACCGGAAGTACAAAAGCGAGCATTTGTATTATAGTATATTCTCCTTAGGAGAGGGGTGAGGAGGGAATGTATACAAGTATATTTAATTTTTGTTTTTTATATTCTGAAGCTAAATCTATAGGAAAATGAAAATATTATGAAGAATGGTCTGAAAATGTTTCCAACTTGATAGAAGAGATGCATTGATTGAGAAAAGGAAAGAAAAAAGAAGAGAATCCTACTTTTTCAATTTATTCAACCTTTCAGTAATGCGTTTAATTTCATGTTCTGCAAGTTCCTTCTTTTTTGCTAAGATTTTCGAAGACTCTTTTTCACCCGCCTTCTTCAAGGATTTTATCTCAACGCTATAAGAATCGCACAACTCCCTAACATTTTCAACATAAGTCTCTAATGCAGGAATTCCACCCTTTTTCAAATTATTATGAGTTTTCTCACTCAACTCTCCCAGTTTTTCGTGTTTCCTTCTTAATTTCGCTAATTGAGCAGCAGTTAAGGAATTTCTTCTACTTAACTGGGCGCAGACCAGTTCTCGTTCAAATTTGAGCACTTGCAGGGAATGTATTGCAGAGGGCGTTACCAGTTTTTCGGGTCTGCAGGGGCAAAGAATATTTTGGGTGAAGTTATTGGATTAAGTATATTGGCGCGAAAATATTGGCGGATTTGATTACATTTGGCACAGTCTAATGCTTTAGGCAAACAATGTTAGTGCAATATGCTTTTCATACTGCAAACTGTTCAGACTATGATTAATTCATGTTATCCATATAGCAAATAGTGCATTTTCAAAATATATAAATATACAGTATATACGCGCATATATACTGTATATAGAACTATCAATGAAATAAAACCTATATTGAAGAATATTGGGTGGGCTTAGCGTAAAGTCTTTACAAAACACTCTGGCTGTATAAAAACAAACAATAACAAATTATATGTAGCTTATGTACGTTATATTTACTTCAATGGTTAACATTAAAGGGGCGGTATTCTTTTTGTTACCCGTTTATCTTACGCATATTTATCTGTATCCATAAATATTTCATTAATCGTTAGTTATATTAATATAAATAAACCTATCTTCTTCCCTCTTCCTCTGTCTCTTTCTCTTTCTAACCCCTTCCCCTCTCTAGTCCTCTCTCTCTCTCTCCTCTCTTATCTCTTGTAACTAGTACAAAAAAATAAAAAAAAACATTTTTCAACTAATCCCTTATCTCTACGCATGCGCGATAATAAATATAATATATTATTTATATTTCTTTCCTTATTTTAGTCAACTTTTTCCTTATTGGTTTAAAAAAAATGAAATAAATGACCAAAATCTAGCCATCCTTGGTTTATTCGCTTATTTTATCCTGACAAATTCCCTTGAAGATTATAGAAAATTCTTAAAAAGATCTCTCCAGCAACTGACACGAGTTTACTAACCGAATTTCTTGCTCAATCAAATATGCTATGAATAATTGCTTAAGCGTCTTTGTTGATAAAAAAAAAAAAGAAAAACCTACGACGTCTCTTTCAACTGCGTCACGCTAAAAGACGTATGGAAAAAACGGATCGCCTAACCATTTGGGACAAACTAGACGCAAACAAGGGAGATAGGTAAAATGAATTGTCTCCATCTAGTGGGCGAAACGTGTGCAGTTTAGGTAAGATGCTTATTCAAGTGTAAATTTGTTGCATTACCGATTTTTTGCATATTTCTTATGATTATCTCCACTTGTGCTACTGCTACTATCGTCGAAAGATATCATTGATAGCCATTCTCTGTTGAATTCTAATTCTTCAACGTTTCCGTTCAAGGGTTTTCTCACTCTTAATCTTGCCTCCAACTGGCCTCCGACTTTTTTCTGCCCTTGATAAAGGTCATAGGCCTTTTGGCATTCACAATGAGCCTTTAGTGAGTCTAACTTGAGAAAAGTCGAACCAAGTACTTTATCGCTCTTCATAAATCCTGAAAATTGCTTCCATTTATAAAAAGATAATCAAAAGCTATGGAAATTTCTGCTAACCTCGTTTATATAGTAAGTCAATCCTCAGGGACAGCTCGTAAAGCCTTGGTAAAGACGATGACTTTCTAACGATTTTTAGATTTTTTGTAGCTCGATATTCAGGATAAGAAGTTCCTTTTACCGGGCTGCTCAAATCTCCTGATTGAGGATTATCCTACAAGGAAAAATCCTATAGTATATTCTAGTAATTTTGCAACGTTGAAAAACTAGGAATAGAAGAGGAGGGAGGGGGGGAGGGGAAGGGAAGATAAAACTTTTCTCTCTCTTCCCTTTTCCTCCATCGCATAACCAAGAGGAAATATGCTAATCTTATTCAATTTTTTTATTCTATTTAAGACGTTTCAAATAAGTTCTACTCACTTTGGGATGAGCAAATTCGTACTTTAGGAGCGTTACCAAGCTCTGAGCAGTAAAACCGTCCGGTATTGGAAGATTGTGAGCGCGAATAGCCAAAATTTCTAGTTCATCGCTTTCCAGGTGAGGAAATGACCTAAAAAGGAACATGTCATTTGCAGTCAGAGATTAAAATCTAGGTCAACATGATATGTTACTTAGTCGAATAGTTAAAACCTAGGAAGTATTGTTATACTTATTAAAATTTCTAAAACAAAATAAAGTAGTTTTTTTATATTAGACGGCTTTCCGATCTCCCTAAAGAACATAATTAGACGTCGGAAGGCGTCTCTTCTCAATTGAAGAATGACAAAGGATGGGTTAAACAGATTTCTCTTTCGAAGAGGAAAAGCAATGAAAGCGATAAATGAACGAGAGAAAGAAAGAAAGAAAAAAGAAGAAAATGAGAGAGATATTTCTTTACCTGACTAGTAAACTTATTATATTTTCATTCGTTCTTTTGTATTTTTCTCGGGTTCAAATCAACAAAAGACTGTTCATTTAGACGTTGAAATACTGTATAACGATTAATTTGTGTCTACATTCTTTCGCTCTTTCAACTCTTTTCTTTCTTTCAATAGAGCGTGCATCGACTGTATTCATAGACAGTATATGCAGTATTTCATTCTGTATACAGAATATATAGTATATGTATATACGTATATACGTATCTATGTATATATACAGTATATAACTATAGCTGCATTTATACATTGTATTTATGCCTGATTTGCTTTTATTTCGTCGAATTCTACCATTTTTAATAAAGAATCACTGGTGACAGATGATTAAAAAACCTATTATAAATGAAAAAATATATATCCGATCACGTGACCGCCTTATAAATGACCGTATGAAGTGGTATTAGACGTCAATGCATCATTTTTAGCACTACTTATGAGATTATTTTCTTCGAAGAGCTATTATCTACTGAGAAATTCCTTTTATAGGAATAAATTTCATTGGTATCAATTGAAAATTGCAACGATTTCTTCAATTCGGTGATGACGCACCTGCGCTAAAAGAATCGGCGCTCTCACAACTAAGAACAAACATATTACGATTTTCCCTTTTCTTTTCAATCTTTAGTTATATGGCAATTAATAGTTTTTATGTAGTTTTATCATTGCATTATTTACGTATGGTCTGCGATTGTGTCTGTTTCAATGTTTCCTTTGTGAAAATTGAATGAGGAAAGAGAAGGGAAAAAGATTACTTCTGGGGAATATACGTTGACAAGGAAACTATATATATATTAAATATAATTTTCTTATATTAGCCTAATTCAAAGAAAATTAAACTAACTTGGCATAGCTAAAGCTCCGGCTTTCTTTCAGAAATTCAGGGAGTTTGTCATCATTTCTGAAAGCTCTTTTTAATGAACTCAATTCTCTCCTTGTCTTCTTTCCCCAGTCTTTGAACTTATCGGCCAAACTTGTATGACCATATTCAAAACACTTTTCCTGATTTTCGTCGCAGAATTTTATTTGATCTTTGAGTTCTGCTTCAATTTTATGAAATTTTTCTTCCCTATTTTCAGCGTCCATTATGCCAGAATCGAAACTAACAGCCGGTAATGTCTTTGCGTTAGGCGGAGGAGGAATACGGAAACGTTCCACTCTTCCAGTTATATTTAAATTTTTCAACATATCTTCAATATTATGTAAGGCAGTATTGAACTTTTCATATTTCTCAATTTCGTCCCTTTCAAGAGCTTCAAGTACCGCGTTTTCATATTCATTTTTTCTTCTCTCCAGTATTCGTTTTATTCTAGTGACGTGCATTGGAAAGTCGAGTTCATCGTCCGATTTCGATTGCAAGCTACCAAAGGGTGATAAACTCCTTGTTGATGGTGCAAGGTTTGAATTGGATGCTTCGCTTGAACTCTCACTAAAGCCAAACTGCATAGAGGGGAAGCCGGGCGGTGTAGGAAGTTCATCAAGGTCAAAATGACGACCGGTTCTGTGAGCTTTTATTGCTTCTTCATACATCATGACGCTTTTAGTATATCTCCGTTTCTTGATTTCGTTACCACATATTTCCGCCTTTTTCGATTTTTTTGCAAATTCATCCCGTCGGATTCGTAGCGTTTCCAATAGGGATTTAGGCGGATTAGCTAAAATTTGCCGAGTTTCGTCAGAGACGCTACTTTCTTCCGTTGACGCCCTAGACGCTTCGGATATTTCATTTAAAGATGAGGATTGCGGTAGATTTAAGTCAAGAGGCGGATCCTTTTAAATGTAAAAGTAGATACGTTAAATAGGAATTAAGGTTGAAAGAATAATAAAGAAGACGTAGAAGAATAAATAAGGGGAAAGGCGGAAGGGAGAAGAGGAAAAGTAGAAGGAGAAGGAGGTAGCAGATAAGGAGCTGCAAAACGGAGAAGACGGAGAAAATTGGATAGAAAGACAAATTAAAAGTTATTTGTTAGACAAACAAGCTAATGAATTAGGGAAGGAAACTACAAAAGTGAAAAACAGAATAATTAACAAGAAAACAACTAATTAATTAATTAATTAAAAGTGAAAAAGCAATATAATCAACTCACTTGGCACTTCATTGAATCCAAAGGATAATCGTAGTCTGGTTCAAGCATGAAATTGTGCTCATTCAAAACGTATTCTGATAATTGTAAACCGCGAATCGAATGTGCCTCCTCGTCTTTCCTCTTCAAAAGTGGCGACGTCTCTGGCGTAGGCGTCCAAGGTGGCGTTATCGGTTTGGCTATTGACATACAGATTCATTCAGAATTTTTACTCTTTCATAAGGGGAGGAATGAAGTTGACTTTTCACGCTTAAAAAAAGTAATTATACCTAGATTGGCTTCGTTATCTTTAAATTCATCGTCGCTAGGGGGAGTTACCGGTGACAAGTTGAAATTCGTTATATCGGTGCGTTGCGTTTGCTTACCTGTTTGTTCAGAGGAGATAAAGTGAAAATATATGGGAATAAAGAGAAAGAAGAAGCTATTAAAAAAGTTGTCTTTTATGATTATTCTCTTCATCTATCAAAGAGTAAAAATCGGCGAATTTCTCTTCAGAATTTACAGACAATATGAGAAATGAAAAGAAAACAAACTCTAAATAGGCCTGAGTAACTAAAAGAGGTGTGGGAGTGAGTCTGTAGTCTTCGCATCGATAAAAACTCAACAGAACATCTAACACGATTCGTATCAAATTCAAAAGAAATCCCTTAAGGGAGAGTAGGAGATGGAGAAAAAGAAAGAGACGCCGCCAACAAACTGTTTTTTTCTCTTTATATATTGTTTGAAACCTAACAGATGTTTGAGGTATAAATCCATAACAAAAATAATGAAATGATGATAACAACCACATGGTTATTTTAATAAATGCGTTTTATCAAACGGCTTAGTTTTATCTCATTCGCTTTAAGATGAAAATCCTTTCGTTTGCTCTTTTATTTCTTTATATTTAAAAATTTCTCTCTGTATCATTTTCTCACTCAAGCCACTCTCACTTCCCTGTTCTGGTACTCCCCAACTACCCTTTTTTTCTCATTTGTCCCCTCTTCCCCTCCCACCCCATCCCCCCTGCTTTGTTTTCACTCGCCAACCCTTTCCTACTTTCATAATTTTACCCTTTTTGACTGAAGGTATTTAATAAGATTGCTGTCTCAGCAATTTCATACATTTCCTTTTATTTTTTTAATTATTTTTCCATTCCTTGTTGACGATACGTGAGCTAAGAAAGCTACAATTTTATTAAGCATTCATAATTAAACTTGATTACTTTAATAGTAACAAAATACAAGAGCAATTTAAGTAAAGTAAAGAAATAAATCGATTTTCTATAAATACTCTTGTGGAACTGATCTTAGGATAGTTTAATTAGTTCAGGATCGATATTTGACAAGTTCATCAATAAGAGTTGAATCCTTCCTAATTTAAGGGAAAAGAAATTTACAACTGGTCGTCTGGCCAGTAAGACCGAGTTGGATTGCTCTATTAACATCTGCCATTTTCTAAAATAGTATTGGAAGGTATTCTTTGCTTCTATGTAACATTTGGTGACTATGTTTATACAAAATACTAGTCCTGTCCTCTCTATCTATCTATCTATATTTTGCTTTCTATTTACAGCAAAGTCAAGGATCTGATCTATTTTTAAGTGCAATCACAGAGAAATATTGATGAGTATTTATTTAAATGTAGTATTTTCCTGGCTTATAATTACTGAAGAAAGATGCCTTTAAGACTAAACTGCTGAGATAGCCATCTCTTTGATGGCAAAGGAAAAAAAAGAAAAATGAAACGAATTATATACCACACACGCATATATCCTGCATACATAGTATATAGTATATACAATACCAATAGCCATAAAAGTACCTTGAAAAATAAATGTAGAGAGGAAATGTTTGAGTGAATTAGTGAGTGACTGAGCGAATGAGAAAGTGAGCTAACCGTAAGTAAGGACTCATACCGTCTTTTTAAGCTAATTTGATGCAACCTTCTCTTCCACCTGGACAGGTAGAAGGGTAAATACGCCTACAAAGGAATGAAAAGGAAATAAGTAACTGAGTGTTTTTTAAATAAACTATTCAAGTATACAAATATACTTCTAATGCGTAAATACATGAGAAAAGCAAATAGAGGACAAGAAATGAATGATAAATTGCCTTCGAATTATTCCTTCAGGCAAATAAATAATGAAAACTCTAGAGAATAGGCTGGCACAACCTCATTAATATTCATAAGTTAATGATCGTTAAATAAACAATAATCATTTCCCATAACAAACGCAAATCACTCCCGAAAGGCGGAAGGGAATATTTAGAATGAGAGAAAGCGTTCATATTCATAATATTCTACTATTTTGCAATATTAATCAAAGAGGGAAATTGAAAAATAAAAGATAAATCAGCAAAATGAATAAACAGAGGAAAAATAATTCTTTGGTAAGAATTTACTCTGAATTTTCAGTTGCTTTTTTTTTTATTCAAAATAATTACACGCACTCTAGATAATTACCAATTAACGCCGATTGTTCAATATATTTACAATAGGCGACTATTGGCTTAATTATTGCGTCGATGTCCAGTAAATTTAATAGCTTATTCAATTTTTCTTTTGTAATTATTTCACCATCAACGTGTTCTATTTCATTTGAAATTTCATATTTTACTTTAATAGTTATAGGTTTTTCCATTTTTTTTAATTTTTCCCTTTATCCGAATCATCTCCTTTCCGCTTTACTTAGCTTATTGACTGCTCAGAAGCAACGGGGTGAGGAGGAATTAATTTTCCCTTTTTTCTCTCTATTTCTCTCTTTTTCATTCCCCTCCTTCTTTCACTCTTTCACTGTCTCTTTCCCCCCCCTCTCTCTCTCTCTCTGCCTTATACACACACTAGCTCACCCACTCAATTTCCTTCTGTTTTTGTTATTGCTACTCTACTTGTAAATGATTTGGATGATGTTACAACAATCGACGGAAAAGAAGACTTAACAATCTTTTTTGTTTTCGTTTGATAATTAAAAATAGATTCACCTTTCTCCGTTTGTATATTATGAAAAACTGAATATTTAGCATGACATTCTATGAATATTTCAATGTTCACACACACACACACACACTCTCTCTCCAATCAAAAAACTTACCTTGGTAAAGAGCAAAATGATATTTAAACTAAGTAATTGTTAAAATATCAGGTATCAATGTTTTTAATATTGTTAAAAAGTAAATGTTGAATTCTTTCGTGAGTTAGTTGGCGACGAATCTACGCGATTTCATTAAATATGGAGACGCTTGATTATTGACAAACTCTCTCAATGTAACGGAATTGATTGTCGGCTTTTGAATGAGAATCGACTGTGGTTTGGATTAATTTGGTCGTGGGCGGTGGTCTTATAATTATGTAAATTATTTAAATTTGGTAAGAGCCAGCAATTTCTCTCCGGTAGGATAGGAGAAGCATTCTTATTCGCTTTCAATTAGAATTAATTAAAGTAAAATTACAAGCTTTATCTTTTCTTTAAAGTGAATAATTGAACAAGGAAGAGCGTAAACAGCTAAGATTAGAGACATAATCCAGTTTCTGAATTTTCTTTTAGCCGGTTCAAAATTTAAAATTAATAAAGTAAAGATGAGAGAGAGGGAAAGAGAGAGAGAGAGAAAGAAAGAGAGAAAGAAGAAAGAAGGTAAATAGGAGAAAGGTATTTTCAAGTAGTAGAATATCATAGTTTAAAATAGAAATGGGAAACTAGTTCCGGTTCTGACTGAGATCGGTTTAGAAGCTGAATAGAAATTGCAACCTACGTATTTCTCTTTTAAAGAAAAGAAGATTATTGGAAATTATAAAGTTTAGAGAATAACAAAATACGATAAATAATTAATAACTACGTTTAAAATTGTTCTAAATAAGCAATGACAATATACAATATACAGTATATAACATTTAATACATGGCTTGTTTCTCTTCCTTATACTCCTCTACTCCTTCCTTTTTCCCTTTACATATTTTCCAACCAAAAACAAACAAACAAACAAAACAAACAATAAATACAAGCAAACTCAACTGCTATCGATTATTAATAAAAGAAGAAGATCAATAGGTAAATCCATAGAGGTTAATTAAATTAAACTTTTTAATGATAAGTTAAACCGATGGTATTAACAGTTTTACTTGCGTATTTCCCAATCTTTTCATCAATTAACAATTAAGAAACTAAGCTTAAATCTTTAGTTTTATACGAGATTAAACAGAAATGAGACTTTGTATTAAAAATATATATGGAAATTCGAACCAGACTCGTGTCAGTTGGTTTTATAGAAAGAAAGAATAGCATTTTTGTAGTCTCTCTATAAAGTTCATCAAAAGAGACAGAATATTGTATATAAATATAAATAAACACCTATTTATTGTTACTAATCGATCTTATCGCCTTTCCTTTTATGCTTACCGCATAGAATACACAAGATCCATAACTCGGTGAATGTATCAACTGTTTTCTACCTTTACAGCACAACTTAACCCAATAATCGAATCGATTCTATTCAGCATTCTCTTTGATTCCATCCCAAACTCTATTGTTCACTTCTCTTTTATTATTTTATTATTCAATGACCTTTGCCAATAATAGTCTAAGAGCAGTGATAAAAGCCTAAAGATCTACTTAATTTTCAGTCCATTATACGCTTCTTTTCTATGGCATATCTGGTTGAACAATTATTAAATTCACCTTGGCAATTACCATTTTTTCATTCTTTCACTTGTATGTAACCCACAGAATTTCCTTTCATCTTTTTTCTTTTTTTTTCTCTTTTATCTTTTTCTCTCCCTCCCTCCCCCTCCCTTTTTCTCTCTCTCTCACTCTCTCTTTTTCTACCTAATTGACTGATTTACACAAATGTATAGTTTATGCATAAAAATAGATATCAGAAATAAACTCTTCCATAGTATCAATATAAATCTTGCAGATAAGTTCTATACGGGATCAAAGACATAATGATTCTACCGACTTGAATTACGCCAATATATACATTAAGGTATAGCGTATTTATTTATTCTTTGATCTGCCAAGAAATACAGATACGATGACGGAACAGATCAATTAGAATAAACAAATAGCACACATTAAATGTAGATAAATATATATATACATATATATGTATATATAAATATTTATGGATATATACAGTATATACTGTATATACTGTATATATTTATATATATGGTACTTTTTTATCCATTAGATGTGTATAGATATTTGCTTTATATAGTTCTTGTCTATCTCTTTTATGTATATATTTATATACAGTATACGAAATATACAGTATATAGGGCTTACATATTCTTCTATCTGTTACGTTGATGCTAATAACTAGTTTTGTAGTAATAGTATCAATAGTAATAATAATAATAATAATAATAATAATACTTACAGCTTTTTGCTGCTCTTAGTTGCTCTTGCAAGCTTTTTATAGTCACGTCGAGTCGGCGAACCTGTAACAAGGGACATTTTATATTTCTTGTTCGTGCTTTTAGATGGCTCATTTAAATATAGGATAATGAGCATTTATAGGCGTTTGTAACTAATAACTTAAAAGACTGAAGCCTTTTGGTTTGAGTTGATAATGATAGTAATGGCGATGGAGCATTAAATTCTTATATTAGAGATTGGATGATTATTCATAAAGTTGGTCGAAAAGTAGGCTCAATTATAATAGCCTTGTTCGTAATTGTCCACTTAGAAAAAGGCTCTTTAATCATTCGTCGATTAGGTGAAGAAAATTACAAGTGGTCCTATGACTTTTCGACAACTGTCTAAATAGAACACTCTAGGCGTAGATTGACAATGAACACAAAAACGAACGAGTGCCGTTTATCGTTGAACTAATGACGGAATAGAAAAAAAAAGGTCGAGAGCAGAAATCGTTTTTGGGCTTCTCTCAAAGAAAATCGTCTACGTATAGTAAATATAGTAAATGCATTTTGCAAGTGTGGTACAGTATTTATATTATTTTTAAAAAGTACAATTACAATGATGGCTTA